GATTATATTCAAGACAAGACAGTCTATTGAGTCAGACGCCTAACCCAGCCCTAACGGGAAGTTGACCTTTGGGTCAGACAGAAGGGTCATACTATTAGTTCAGCTAGGAATACACGGATACATAAGAGGTATCCATCCCATGATTATTCATCTCAATAGCAGCATCAGTGTTTGTAAGACAGTTGGTCTTTCATGGCTTTTAGATGTTTTTGTTCACATTTTAAAGAAGATTAAAAATTTAAAAAATGTTGTTTTATGTGCAAAAGGCAGTGTATAAAACAAAGAAACAAAATTACATTATGCATTCTGCAAAGATATTACCCGGATAAATACATACAGTGCATGCTCTATGAGCCACAGTGGCCCAAGACTTCTGCTGGCCAAGCCTGCTAACTTCCAGTTCACCCATCCATTAACTTGAATGGGGATAAATAATTTAATCTTTTGAATCTCATAGTCTATAAGAATATTATCAAACTGTGGCTTCTTTCACAATGTAAGCGGAAAATATATATTATTGGGCCAGTGGAAGCTTCTGCTGTAATTACACGGTTCTACTTCTTGAGTTACGTGCGTTGCGTTGACAGACTGAGAATGGCTTGTCAATCACAAGGTAGCCACACTACCCTGCTTTATTGTCTAGTTTACTCTAAATGGGACCATCATTTACTAAGTGAACATCATGCTGTATGGAAGAGGACTTGAAACTAGAGACTGAGACCATAAACTCATTAAGAAACTGTTTACTGAGCTCATAAATCAAGTGAAAAGTTGGCTCATTTCTCAATAAGACTGCATGGTATCATTTTGACATCACTTTGGTTTGTAATATGTCTGTTTGAAAATGTTGATCATCTGCGTCTGTGCAGGTGTTCAAGCTGCACTGTGTGATTGCTGACTGAGAGTAACAGAGACTGTTGGTGTGATTCGAGAACTTACTGCATTGTGTTACATATCTCAGTGCCCGCAGATAGCCGGTGATGGCAGCTGTATTGTCTGGCTTAGAGCAGGAAGAGAATGAGGTCTATGACTGATTGAACTAAGAATAAACACACACACACACACACACACACACACACACACACACACACACACACACACACACACACACACAGTACAGTAAATAATGATAAAACCCAGCGACCCAGTCCAAGCATGAACAGGCATTAAATAGCCTGGAGGATTGTCACTACTGTGTTATAATGATGACATACAGTGACACATTGGGTGTTTTATTTACACACATTTTCACTCACACTTAGAAAGTGATGTAACACATAAAGTGACTCAGCTGAAGATACACATCCACATGACTTTAGGATGGCTGTTCAGCATAAACTCATTCCTAACTGAATGATCCAGGTGTGTATTATCAATAGGATATCCATTTTGTTCAGTGAAGCAACATGAAAATGCATAAATTCATGGAACAATCTTCAACATTTCTATGTCTAGAGAGACTCAATAAAACTTCAACAACAGGAATTTGTGCACATTTGATATGTTTTAAACAAATAATTCAGCAATTTAGAATTGTACTTGCAGACACAGATTGAAAGGATCTAATTAAAAGTCAAAACTGACTCAGCAAAGGCTGAGTTTTGCTGCTAATTTTTAGTTTTTGTGTAGTCTGTAGTGTGGATCAATCAAAAAACACGAGATCTTTCACAACTAACTTACTTCAATGTCAAAGACCACAGACTTGGATTTTACTAGCCCATCCTGAGGTACAATTATTCAACATTATACATTATACAACTGACTTTACACTGTAGGATCAGCGTGGTGTACATCTATTACATTCTTTCCTTCCATGTGCACCGTGTCCCCTTTATGCGTTTGTGCAACGCCAGTAGAAACACTTCCCGTTACAAACCCCTGACCGATTGGACAGTGACATTAAGCAGAAGAGCAAACATTTTGCAGAGTAAATATGTGCCTTTGTGAAAGTGAATCTCTCTGACTGGGAAACAGTGTCTGCGGTGTGTGTCAGTGTGAGCTGTGGAATGCCGGGATGGTCATGTTTCGGGAAAACTGTTTCGGGAAAGTCTTTCATTGGCTTCAGCGTCCTGATCACACCAAAGTGTCAACAGACTGACACTCTGATGGGCATGGACTAAAAGTGCAATGCACTCCATTGGTCTCTTTCTGCACCATCTCCTAACAGACAAACACACACACACACACACACACACACACACACACACACACACACACACACACACACACACACACACACACAAAACACACGCTTTGATGCGTACCTCCAAACCTCCGTAGAAAGTTCAGTTTTTTTACCCCAGTATTATATAGCTAAGAAAACATGACTGAATATGTCCTTGTTAAAATGGATAAAAGACAGTAAAAGAATAAAGGTTATGTTGTGTTTAGGGTTACAGTTATGCTGATTTATGGTAATGGCACCTTTTTTGGTCCAATTCAGGCACTGGTACTCAGAATACAACAAAAGCTGTGACTGTAACCTGTAACAGTCACAGAAAGAAAATACATAATCAGATTACAGAGATGTTTAGTAAAAATGAGGATAAAATACATTTTAAAATAAAGAACAATATACTATCAAGCACATGTGCACACTGGACCTTTAATGATTCAACAAGTAGCAGCTTTTTCAACTAAATTCCCTATTTCTTTTGAATCAGTAACACTGTGTGCTCCCGCTCTTTGTGCTGATTTCTGACAAGGGTATTTGATATTGGCTGATTTAAAAAATGGTAACTTCGACTTTGAAAAATATCATGATGTTATCCCTTCAGTTGGTAATGCTCCCTGCTGCGCCTGAAACACTAAACTGGAGCAAGGCATTACACTGGAAACCGAACAGCCATTAGAATACCACACATTACAGTATCGTAAATAACAAAAAATAATTACTATGTTCTGTAGCGCTGGTTTAAATGTAATTGCTCGTGTTCAGATTAAGGAAGAATTATTATGGAATCAGTAACTTTAAACAGCTGAATTTGATCCTTAACTAAAGAAAAGTAGGCTATAAATGTTGTTAATGAGTTAATAAGTTTAAATATTTTATTACAAGGTTCCTTAATCCTGCAAATTCAGAGCTATAAAGGAGTTAAGTGTGAGTTTCTAAGGAATAAAGATGTGTATGTGTGTGTTTTAAAGCTTTTTAATAGATGTTTGTTTCATACGTGCATTAGCAACATTTTAAAAATCATCATTATATCAGCAGTTTATTTGTCACAAAGATAGGGTGTAACATTTTCAGCACAAATCCAACCATGATTCTGCTGCAACACCTTGGTTTCCATGACAACCACACTTTCAACATCCGTCTCTTTTATTCCCATTTGGACGATGTTATGATGCAGATTCTGTAAATCCTGTGGGTTTAAGTTTCTGGGCTTAACTTCAGAGACGTTCTGAGTTTTTTCATGAATCAAGCCTCTTTCCTTCTGTTCAAGTGCACCATATTGATGCATTTAAATGTTAAATACAAAGCCCAGAGCCACCTCAGAGGGTTGGGAATCCCCGCGTCATAGTTAAAAAGGCCTACCTAAAAGCTAGAAACATCCCTGAGAAGGACTTTCCTCACAGTCTGAGAAATGTCCCCTCACACTGGCTATGAGGTTTAGTGGTTGTATGCTATGTTTGTTTCTCATAGCGTTGTACATGGCAGGAGAGGACTTCCAGCTTGCAGCTGTTGCTTCTCAATCCTCTGCTACTTTGCCATTTAGTGGAAGAACGAGATCCTGTTAAAAGGAGGTCAGAATAATACTTTAAAACAAAGAACAAATTATGAGTAATGCTTATCCCCATGTGTCAGCATTGTTGTTGCCGCAAGCTGTCATAAATTGACTTCTTGACTTCTTCTTGAACCGGATGAAGGATTTTAGTCGTCGGACGTCTGGATCTTAAGTTATCAGAGAAACAAGCTGAGCTAACGTTAGCAGCAGTTCGGCTCATAGCCCCTCCGGGACGTCCTTACTGCTGAACAGCGTGGGAGAAGCAGTGATATTTAAGGTGGAACTGCTTTATTCAGTGTTTTTTTTACCTGTTTGTTTTAAAGAGGAGAAGCCCTCTGGTTAAAACCTCCTGAACAATGAACACTGAAGGAACTCCTATGATCCTATTTTGGTTCTGATGTGAAAAACTGTACACAGAAAAAGTCCATGAGTAGATGCTTCCTTCTGCGCAGTGACACAAAGAAAGAAAATAGTTCCTAAAGTGGTCACAACAAGGTGGATTATCTTGAGTAACCTGGTCATGATTTCTGGAAAGAGAGTCGGGTGCCATCTGGTTGCATTAAATTAGAGACAAGGCGGACATCTCTACACCAAAATAATCTGGATGGATAAATAGCTCCACAGCTGTACAAAATACCATGAAAGGTATTGTGGATATTCATGATGCCAAGAGCTTGGCACCAGGATTTTACCTTTTACTGCCACCCTGAGGCCTCAAGTTCCACTTGTACATAAGGTAACTATTATTGTAATGGTCATATTACTACAGAAGGGTTAGAAAGGGATGGCGTGATGATGCAAAAAGCCATCAGGACGCCTCAATTTTGGGTATTTATTGTGGGATTTTATTGTCTTAGTGCTTGGAGCAGACTTTCTAACAGCAAATGTGTCAATGAGAGCGTAGCACAGGCCTTAGATAGGGTGACTTCTAATGGTATTAAGGTTATTTCTACAGGACACAGCAACTGAGTTCAACCACCATGTAATTCAGTTCCAGATGAAGTTAAAGTCATCTTAAACCTGAACCTCCAGCAGAGCAGCAACAGCAACACCTTCTCTTGATAAATCCATCTTGGAGGTTTATATGAACTCTCTCCTTTTGGCAAAAGAGTGCATTTAACTGGTTGCCATCGGTCTTTTAAATCAACTTTATGTGATCTTTGTATCCTATTTATGGTCTATTGCTTGTTGTCTGTCTTATTTCCCTTTCCAATGTCAGTTTAAGCTCAAAGCCCCAAGTGCATTGTTAAATTGTGTAATAAGAAAACAGTTAAATCAGTCTTATTCATTTTTATTTAAAGAACATACTAGCAAATATAGAAAATTAGGTTTTGTCGCCGGCGTACGAGCTCTTGAGAATTGAGCTGTTAAAAGAGTGTCTCAGCTCTCCGATGGCGGGGGAGCAGCCTTGCGCACAGCCTTGGTGAGAGCTTGTTGAATAACCGGGTACAGTTTATAGCATCCCTCAATGCAGGTCCGAACCCCAGCTGTCAGAGTCTCTTGGGTCATTTCTCCATCTGACTGCAGCCCAGAAATCTGGTTCAGGCTGGGGAGGAAGGCAACAGTCAGCCCGCCCTGGTTCCCGCCGCCGCCGGAGCTGCGGCTGTTTTCCTCCGCGTAAGAAGGGTCAACCACGTAGGAAGCGCCGTCCTGGCGGATCGAGCAACCGAGCACCAGGTCGTACATTTCGATCCCTGCGTCGGCGAGGGCGAGGGAGGCGCATGTGACGGCGTGGGCCAGGACTGAGCCGCTGTTCTCCAGAACCATCACGTTGACCTCGATCTGAGAGCGGGGATACTTGTGGAGGCACACGGCCGACTGCAGACTCTCCTGCAGCATCAGGGAGAGATCCTTCTCCTGGCTGCCCTGAATCCACGAGCCCCTCTCCGGGCAGGAAAACGGAGCGAAGCGCATGTCGGTGGTCAACCTGGATGGACGGAGAAAGACAGTTGTCTTCATAAACTCTTCCTACAGCAACTATCGCAGACACATCTGTGTGTAAGATTGTTAGAAATGATACAAAAAATACATAATACAGACAGAGAATTGCATAAAAAGTTCCATAAAGAGGAAATAATCTGCTTAAAATACACAAAAGTTCATTATTTGGGTTCATTATACAGATAGATAGATACTTTATTTATCCCGAGGGAAATTCAAGCATCCAGTAGCAGCATACAAACATACATTAAAATAGAAAACTATACAAAAAGTAAAAGTAGAAATTTTATTAAACCATGTGCAATTAAAATTAAAATAGTTTATTATATAAAAATATGTCAATCAGGGGTTGGAAACAACTGTTTGTAAAGCAAAACTGCTCAGTTGTTGTTTAAGTTTACTTTGTTTACATACATTTTATGAGATCTGGCAACCTTTTTGAGATACGTGGAAGAGAAATCAGAGCTGCATGAAACAATCTCGCTGGCTTCACTTTATTTAGGCGATTTTACTCAGTATGTACTTTTGTTTGCTTGTTTGTTTGTTTATTTGTAAGATTATCTCTCTGTCATCATGTATATATGTACTCTCTTACAACAAATTTAAAATGTAAGATGCATTGTCTTAGATTATTTATTTATTTACAGGTGTTTCTGTATGTAAATAAACAAAACAACACATTTTGTTTGTTTTTTAAATAAGAAAACACTTCATTACATACCTTCCACACTTCATATCAGTCTCATCTTTCCGTTCAGTTTCTCTGGGTCCGTAAACGCAGCACATCACCTTCGTGTCCCCAGCCTCGATGTACGCGGAACCTTTCGCCTGGCTCACCGGCCCGCAGCGGACGAACACCGGCCGAACGTCCACCTGCTCCCGCTGCCGACCGTCCGCTCTCGGGCCCCGCGACGGGACAACGTCCGCCGGCTTGTCCGAAAACAGAGACGGGCTTTGGGAGACTTCTGGGCCGCGCACACGCTTGGTGTCGGTCGGCATGGTGCACGGAAGTGAAGTGAACGTCACACCAGCGCGTTAACTAGTCCGCCCCAACAATGTGTTCCCCGCCGGTGACAGAAAGCGCAGCAGAGCAATGGTTCCGGTGTTTCATCAAAAAAAAAAAATCACAAATTATTTAATTTTAATTATTATACACAAAGATATTTTAATTTAACTTTTTATTTTATGGAAAAAAAACATTCTATGTCAGTTTGTATTTATTAAATCTGTTTAATAATACAGTTAATAATATACAAACATGTCAAGAAAGGATGAATAAAAACAAATAAAAGATTAACATTAAACGTGCCAGAGGTCAATTTAAATAAAAATAAAGTGATTTTAGTTCAATAAAGGAAGAGCAGTCGCAGTTTTAACAGCTTTTTTTGGTTTATTTTCTTTATTGAAAACATGAAAGTGAGGTTTTACACATTTATAAATGTAAAAAACTGCAAAAAAATATAATGAGATTTATTAGAAAATACTACTTCTCACACATATTATACATATTCTCCTTTTCTCCAGTGGAAGCTGAAAGTCACACAATATAATCACAGTTTGTGTGCTTTTATAGACATTTCCAGAAAATATGAATGACTGATTTTAATGTGGGAATCACAAATTATTTAATTTTAATTATTATACACAAAGATATTTTAATTTAACTTTTTATTTTATGGAAAAAAAACATTCTATGTCAGTTTCTATTTATTAAATCTGTTTAATAATACAGTTAATAATATACAAACATGTCAATAAAGGATGAATAAAAACAAATAAAAGATTAACATTAAACGTGCCAGAGGTCAATTTAAATAAAAATAAAGTGATTTTAGTTCAATAAAGGAAGAGCAGTCGCAGTTTTAACAGCTTTTTTTTGGGTTTATTTTCTTTCTTGAAAACATGAAAGTGAGGTTTTACACATTTATAAATGTAAAAAAATGCAAAAAATATAATGAGATTTACTAGAAAATACTATAATACTATACTATATATTATACATATTCTCCTTTTCTCCAGTGGAAGCTGAAAGTCACTGACAATATAATCACAGTTTGTGTGCTTTTATAGACATTTCCAGAAAATATAAATGACTGATTTTAATGTGGGAATCCCAAGAGGCAAAATATAAATAAAAATAAACATTAAATTGAACAAAAAGCAAGAGATAGATAAAGAAAACCCTCTGACACCGGTGTCTCTCCCATTGCATCAGCCACTACAGGGAAGTCCGTACCAGTGATGTGGCGGGCTCGGCTGTGATTGACAGGAGGCTCGTCCAATAGAATTTGACGCAGCGGTGCGGCGGACCAATGAGCGGCCGCCGTGGGCGTGTCCAGAGACTCAGCGCTGTGGTTTCTGTCTCTGTGTCCGAGCAGCGTGCGGCTAAACGCGGCGTGTTTGGGAGCAGAAAACCGAGTCATTCCGCGAGAATAGCGACTTCTGTGAGTATTATCATTCACTCGTGTGCTGTGAGAACAATTAACGTTTGTCGTACCATTCATAAAAAGTAGTTATTTGTTTTGGTTGAGGGTTGTGTGCCGCGGTATCTCTCATACAGGGATAGCCTAGCTGAAAGATTTAGCGTCAAAGCTTCAACATAAGAGTTTATCTGACCCTAATAACGCAGCATGCCATGTTTTTAGAAAGCAGTTTAAGAGGGAAGGATGTTGTCTGCATTGATTGGCACTATTTTAAGGCAGCAGTCCCTGTGTGCTTGTTTACAGCAGAGCTGGGTTTAATCCTCTGGGACTCCAGATGAGACCTGAGGATGTAACTCATTTGTATCTGTGGGAACAAACAGCTGACCCAGTGGTATAAAAGAGGGCTGCACCACTTATTTGGAGGGTGGGTTTAAGTGTCTTTGTTTATAGCCCACAAACCCTGATCCTAGGAAAGGGATGAGGGCTTGTTTGCATCTTTTAAAAGTGCACAGGTTCATCTCCTCTTGTCACTTTTGGATCTTGCTTTCACAATAAGCATTTGGTTTTTTATTACTTTTTAACTTGAATTTCCTTCCCATCACCCAAATGTGTGTCTTCTTTTCTCTGGTTGCCAGCAGGTTGGTTGGTGGTGGTGGTTTGGTAGTCAGGTTGGGGACGGTGGCTGGTCCTCGGAGAGCTGAAGGCACCAGCTGTGTGGTTTCCTTTGCCTGCTAGTTTGTGAATGAGTGTGGTCCACCAATGGGGATTCAACTGTGCTGACTTTTAGTTATTGAGAGCACTTTCTGTTCCTTCGCGATACTGTCGTTATGGCGCTTGGTTTAAAAAGTCCAAACGTGTTTGAGTTTAATTAACTGAACATGCAATTTCAAGTAACTTTATCAAAGGTTTGTCGAATCCCAGGTTTAAATAATCAATACATTTATTTAAACCGTGCAATGCATATTTCCTTTTGTTAAGTTAAACTGAAGTCTTTGTTCCCAGATATCGTCGATATCAGTTTTATCTTCACATATTTGTATTGCAATTACTCCGTCTCACGATATATCTTTACATTCCTAATTATTTGTGCACAATGAGCTTTGTAGGCTCGCATCAGCGGCAGTGTCTCGTCCAACTGTAGCTCACTGTGTAGTTAATAAAACACCCAAAAACCCCATGGCACATAAGAACAGTGGAAAAATCCTGAATTGTGAGTTAAATTTTTCCTGCTTTCTTTCACGGCTGCTCTACTTTTATGGCAGCTGTAAGTGTTAAACACTAGTAAAGCTCCACCTGACCACTCAGTATTACACTCTGTGTATCCTGTAAGAGCCGTTTGGCTGTTGTTTCCATGTATTTTGGATAAAATGATGTTGAGCTCAAAGAACTTGACAAAAGCCATCCACGAAAAGCCTCGCCGGACTCACAGGATTCCTGAGTTGTCGTTGGTTTATGAGACGAGCCAAAGGGCAATTTGCTGAAGGGAAATGACAGAGTAGAACATCTCTGCAAAGCCCGCTTGTTAAGACACACACCTTACAAACTGACTTGACTCGAGGCTATAGGTGGCGGGGGAAATACCTTCCTACCTCTTTATGATAACAGGTAATCCTTATTTATATACTTGTAGTGGTCAGGCAACAAATATAGTATTCCTGTGCTTTTCTCTTATTTCTTTATTTGTGTGACCATTCAGGAGGTGTTGTGTTGAGGCAAAGCAGCCCTTGGGGCAAATAGATGACTTGGTGAAAAGACTAAACTAGTTTAACTGGTTGTAACTGGTCTAATGGCCAAACAATTTTAAGAGTTTTGCAGTGTCTCTGTTAACCTTGTTAGAAAGAAGATGGATCACACATTTTACAGAAAAGAGCTCCACATAAATGTATTTACATCAAGCCTTATACTGTTCAGATGCAACGCAGCGCTGTGACAGAAGAACACTCAGCAGCTCACTCAGCTCCTGTTCGTATCATTTTATTAGGGTGCAGCTCAACTGCAGTTTCACACTGGATAAGTTCAGCTAGGTTTGTCCACATATGATTAGAACAACAATAACAGCTGTATGACTGGTTGGAGTCAACAAAGTCTTTAACCCTCTTTAGTCTGTGCTCTGCAGACACCCCCCACAACTTAGCACTGATTAGAATCAGCCTTAAATTTGGGCAGAAGTGCTGTGAGAGCGCACACGTTTTTATTTTACCTGAGAAATGTGGAGCTCTCAACACACGTCTGTTTAGGCCGTGCTCCTGGGAGCTTGCCACATGTTGAGAACACTTTGTCTGTACTCAAGTCGTATTTTGATGTTCAATATGAAGGTTTGACTACTCGTTTCTCTCTTTATTTCAGTTCAGCGCCACACTACGGTCTGATATCAGCAGTTGACACAGCTACATGAGTCATATTTACCTCATGTGTTAATGCCTTTCTTTGTCACCTGTGATGTGAAAACATCAGATTTCCACACAGTCAGAGAAAGAAAGTGTCTGTCCTGCTCATAGTTCAGTTATAAAATCCCAGCGCGCCACAGAGCCTCTCTCCTGCCGGGCTGCTGCAGCGCTGTCAGCCCACAGCGTCACAATGGACGGCAGCAGAAGAGGGTTGAACCACTGTCTGGTTCAAAAGGGGTTTGACTGACTTCACTGACAGTCAGCAGCTGCTGCACCGCTGTCCGTCGTCAAGCTCTCTCTGCTTCCATCATAGTTATTTTGTGGTTTGTGGTCATTTTGAGACTCAGTTTGTTAAGTTTACAGCCTGCCATGCTGTTGCTCTGTACAGTGACACAGCTAAAAAACAAAAGTGCAGAGTCATCTCAGGTTTTTCTTGACTGATGACTCGAATCGTCAAGTTCTCGGGGGGCAGCCCTGCAGACTTGTTTCTCTTTGTTCTATAACTAAGCTGTACTAGTTATTTACATAGAAATGTTCATGTTGTACTGTGGATCACAGTCAGGGACTTAAACATGGAACTAAATTAAATGTCACCTTTTGAGTGCTGCCTGATTGAAACATGATTGATGGTTACAGTATTAATGTCTGTATTTGTATATTTTTGTCCAGACAGCTGATTCAGAATGGACTCCTCTTTGAGTGCAGCTCAAATCCGTGAAAAGTTCATCGACTTCTTCCGTCGCTATGAGCACCAGTACGTCCACTCGTCATCCACCGTCCCACTGGACGACCCCACGCTACTCTTCGCCAATGCTGGCATGAACCAGGTACACTATCCATCCGTCTTTCTCAAATATCTGGGCCTCTCTCTCTCTTTGATTTACAACATTTTGACTCTAAAATAATAAGATTCTTATAGCAAACAAATGGACTTGGATTTTCCCTTCCTCTTAGTTCAAGCCCATCTTCCTCAACACCATCGACCCGTCCCACCCTATGGCCAGGCTGCATCGTGCTGCCAACACCCAAAAGTGTATCCGTGCAGGAGGCAAACACAACGACCTGGACGATGTGGGTAAAGATGTCTACCACCACACCTTCTTCGAGATGCTGGGGTCCTGGTCTTTTGGGGACTACTTTAAGGTATTGTCATCCTTTTCGGTCGTCTCATGTTTTTGTCACCTTGCAATTGTAACCTGATTGATACTGGAGGTTTGAGGCAGATAATAATAATCATATAACATAAATAAACAATAATCTTGATACAGATCTCTTAGAGATTGTGACTAAGATGCATACTCTACATACATTTTACAGTTGAAAAATCAACTTGTCTCTGGTGGACAAACTCTAAATGACCTGAAATGATGCATTTCTGTACTGTAATGTACAAATATACTGATATAGCTGCAATAAGCTAATGTTGACTGATCTGTCAGCCTGGCAGACTTATTGCTCTCGCTCTACTGTAGTGCCCTTCATTTTGATATAAAAATAAAAAGGTCAAATCCTGTGTCCTTACTGGACATGACTGTAACCTCTATTAAGGAACTTTATAACTCAACTGTGACTAAGGTTACAAATCTAAATAATTAAATTTAATTTATTTTAAAATAATGCATATTTTAGTCACGCAAGTTAATTTTTCCTTGTATTAAATCTAAAATGCATCCACATGTTGTTGTACGTGATTGATTTAGTTTTCATATATAATATCTAAATATCAGCGTCGGTCATTGAAAAACCCGTATCGGTTGAGCTTCATTAACGATCAGTAACTAATTTGTGAGTTGATTTAGGGACATAAACAACAACAACAACTTCAGATTCTTATACCTGCGCCTCTTCAACCCAGGTATGAGCTTTCTGTTGAGCACTGCAGTTACTTTCTCTTACGCTCCTGTCTCGTTGTCCTCTCTGTCTCGTGTCATTCCTCCCTCTGCAGCAACTGGCCTGTAAGATGGCCTTGGAGCTGCTGACCCAGGAGTTTGGTATTCCCATTGATCGTCTGTATGTCACTTACTTTGGGGGTAATGAGGACGCAGGCTTGGAGCCCGACCTGGAGTGCAAACAGATCTGGATCGACCTGGGGTGAGCCTTGCTTGGGAATGAGACAGCACTTACTTAAAACGCCTTTTTAGTAATCCTTCCCCACTATGAATTATTTTGAATCCCCTGCATTATCTCCTGGGTGTACCTGATTCCTCCTCTTCAAATCATTTATAGCTCTTTTTACAGATGTTGCATTTGTGGCGGCTGCTGTCTATCTGCCGCTGTTTAAAGTGATTGCATAATGCTGTGTGATTATTCCCCGTGGAAGTGCCTCTCTTCTCCTCCCCCAGTCCCACAGAGCCACCACACCGACTACAACAACAGCTTAGAAGATTCTCACTCCCTCTCTACCGTTTCTCCACCTTTTTTTCAGGCCCAATACATTAAAAATTTTCTCTCATGGTATTTCAACAGTGCAGTTATCTACCGATTATTTATTCAAAGCTTTCAGTTGACATTTCCCCCCCATAGTATCTGACTTTCTCTGAGCTTTCCCTCATTAAAAAACAATCCAAAACACTCTCTTAATCCTGATATCTGTTGGGTTTGGTGTCTGCTCATATAGAAACACATCACTGGTCCCTTGTTTTTGCATATATTGGCTCTCAGACTGGACAGTTACGCAGATGTATTATCTTTATTTATGTTTATATCTGTTACATCTTTCTTCATTTTGTGACTTCCGTGTAATAAGATAAGGCCTTTATTGATCTCCAGAGGGGAAGTTCAGGTGTAGCAGCAGCACAAGGACAGAAATAAGTACACATAACAGAGAAGGTAAACAAAAAACAAAAAGGAGTGTATATAAAATATAAAAAACATTTAAAATAGATAGTATATATGAACAGAGTGACATAGTGGTGTAATTAATATCAGCAAGTCTAGTATATGTAAACCGTGTAGACCAGAATAGTTATATATTGTATGATTAAAGAGCTCCTCCAGGCATGTATTAAGACATATTTTTGAGTTGAGGGAGACATAATAGAGTCATATGTTCTAATTTTCACACAATTTCGATGTTTTAATATCTTCTCTCCCTGCTTCTGTATGTGTTTCTCTCAGGATGGATGAGGCTCGCATCCTGCCAGGCAGCATGAAGGATAACTTCTGGGAGATGGGAGACACCGGGCCCTGCGGCCCCTGCAGCGAGATCCACTTTGACCGCATCGGAGGGAGGGACGCCTCTCACCTGGTGAACATGGACGATCCCAACGTCCTGGAGATCTGGAACCTGGTGTTCATCCAGTTCAATAGGTAACTCACTCACACAGACACTGATCACAGTATGTTTGAGATCTTAAAGAGGGGGGAAGGTATATTTACCTCACAGTTACATGCCTTTGCAGAATACATTAATTTAAGTGACTCACAGGTTCCCACGCATCCTTGAAAACCTGGAAATTTAGAGACTAGTTTTCCAGTTATGGAAACACCTGGAAATATGGAAAATATCCTGGAAATAAGTTTTCTTTTAGCCCCTCACTAGTATTTAGTTTGACTGTTGGAAGGCTAAGCTGCATATATGACACTTTAACGCAGGTTTACCAGACGTGGAACAAACATGCAACAATCTAGTCGAGTTTATTCTTTCCTGAGCCGTGAGCAGAATGAAAACCCAGTGTTGTGGTTAATAAATATGTGCACGGCAATGATAAGTGTACATGCAAAAAAAAGCTTTATGCTTCTACCTCTAACAAACCTGAGATGCTTCATCATAAACCTTGCATCATTAAACTAGGAGGAATAAAGTTACATGTGTCAATACTAGGCCTACTTGGAAAATGTTTTCTTAAAAAGAGAGGGAACCCTGAAAAAGGCCAGTAAAAACAAAAGAACCAAGACCTATAAGCATGAAAGCATTTGGACTGACAGAGAACTCATTCGTGGGACAGATTTTGTCTTCCTGAATCATCAGCGCCACATGGACCCTCTTATCTGTGTAACTCGACATCATTGTGCGAATAATGACGAGCAGGTAGAAGCAGGACGAAGCAGGTCTGGTGCTGTAATATTATGGGGCATAGTTTCTGTATGGTCGCTCTGTTTATCTTATTTCTTAATGAGAAGCTGCTTAAATGCGTGGAGCATGACACAAGGGCAGCACACCCCTGTTTTAACACTGGTGTTACCATGGTTTCCAAATAAATTACATAAATATATATGTGGCTTATACATTTTTTTATAAAATTGCTTTATTATCTTATTTATTATCATCAAATCCTGCAGTTCGTTTGGCTTTGCTTTCTTTTAATTTGGAATTTTTTTTTTGCTGCCGTTGTCAGATTTTTTAAAGATTTCTCTTAGTATGTTTTTAATTTTTTTAACCGCTATTATTTAACAGTCATGTGAACAAAAGAAAACCCACAATGTAATCTCTTTATACAGGCTTGTAAGCAGTTCAGTGGGTTACAAATGATCACCTGCTTTGTGACGGCAACATACCAAAACATAAACCTACTCGTAAATAAAGATCAGCCGATGCTGGAATTTGGACACACCTTTATCATGATCTATTTATTATGCACTGCAGCTACTGAATACAATGCACACTCCCTCTCTCCTCACCTCCTTTACCGTTCCTCCTTTTGTTTGTGCAGTCAAGAGAAGTTTACAGTTGTTTACAAGTGATCTCACTGAATGTCCTTTTCAATGTTAGACCTATTTCATGTCACAGTATTAAGGTAGATATACGTCTGCCGAAGAAATCTGATTACTTGGCCGTGTAAAAGCTTAAACTGATTTCTGAAATGTGTGTGTTTGGATGAAAAAAAGTCTCGGGCAGAAATGTTATTGTGATTAAAAAGGGGAATATCCCAAATAATCCAAAGTTTGACATGAACTGAACTCAACTGTGCTACCTTTCTTTTAACAAACTGAAAAATATAACTACTAAATAAGTCAGTTTCTCTCACTACAAGTCTGCCTTGTCAAAAGTACAAACACTCATTTACTGATCAGAAAATCTGTCTTTTTTTTAACTGTAGAGAGTCTGAGACGGAGCTGAAGCCACTGCCTAAGAAGAGCATCGACACAGGGATGGGTCTGGAGCGCCTGGTGTCCGTACTGCAGAACAAGATGTCCAACTATGACACCGACCTCTTCATCCCGTACTTTGAAGCCATTCAGAAGGTACTGAGATGCTCCAGATTTGTGTAAATGAATGGAAGTGTAAACATGATTGAAAAAAATCTCACTTGTCAGCTGAAGCTTCGGGTTCCTCAGCACTTTGTGATGATTTTGGATGATGTTTGGTTTCTGCCTTTAGACAGTTTACATTTTGTGACTGTACTTATTATTCAGCATTTATGTAGCATTTCAATCATTAGCTGTTTTATCGCACCGTTCAAGGTACACACAGCAATTACAAGCTCACAGCAGAACACATTGTAGCTGTTTGTGGGATTGAACAGGGTTCCCATATGTCCTGGAAACTTAGAGACTAGTTTCCCTGTCATGGAAACACAGAAATTGAATAAAATTATCTGTGTTGTCGTGGAAACAGTATTTTAGCTTGTGCTGTGGTTAAATTAATGTTACAGAGGAAAACTTTGGTCAGTTAGAAAAGAGGAAAACCCCCACCACGAGCAAGCTAAGGGGTGTGTCCCTTAAATGATGACCACATATGGCTGTCTAGTAAGTGCTATCGTGGTTTGTTAAGAAAAACTCCTGAAAAAGGTCCTGGAAAGGTGTGCTAACCAGGGGTGTACAAATATGAAAAGAAATAGCAATTGTGTAAAATATACACATAAATAGGATTAGAAATGTGTGTGGCTGATCTTTTTGTAGAGTTATTGTCACAATATCCAATAAACTACCAGCTACAACCGGCTATAGGACACACCTGCCACTGACCTGAGTCAGTTGTAACACATTAACGTCATGTGCTGCGATTTAAGAGTTCATGAAAACTAGTTAGCAAGAGATGTCAAAATACAGCAGATAGGTATAAGTAATGGTTTAAACGTCAACAATTTCTGCCACTTCAGGCAGAGACCTTAACAAAAGCAATTCCAGGATCAGCTGTGGTTGTACATCAGAAAAGGAAGGTTGAGAACCACTAATCTTATACGCAGTTTCAACATAATTTGTGTTTCAGGGTACAGGTGCTCGACCTTACACCGGTAAAGTAGGTGCTGAGGATGCTGACGGTATTGACATGGCCTACCGTGTGCTGGCTGACCACGCCCGCACCATCACCATCGCCCTGTCAGACGGCGGCCGGCCTGACAACACAGGAAGAGGGTGAGACATGAACGCAGCATACTTTAATTTGTGTGTGTGTAGTGTGCTAGTCCTTGAGGGGTATTTCCCAAATTATACTTTGGTAATTTGGTGTTTAATTACTGACACACACACACACACACACCATAGAGTTAGTACAATACACGTAAATATTGTAGTTCATTTTTAATACTTTATTGTAATTGTATTGTAGCTACGTGTTGAGGAGGATCCTGCGTCGTGCAGTCCGTTATTCCCACGAGAAGCTGGGAGCTCAGAAAGGCTTTTTTGCGTCTCTGGTGGATGTGGTGGTCGATTCCCTGGTGAGATTTTAAAAAGCTAAAGCTAAAATGCTTTAAACTGTGTGCAGATACCCTGTATTCTCTTTTATTCCCTGTAAAAAGGTGCACATTGGAGCTTGAGTACATTCTAACATCCAGTTCATAAGTAGGGTTATAAATAGTGAATTTCACCATCGATTCTCTGCTATTCCTCTTTTATCTCTTCTCCCCTCATCTCCCCTCCTCTTCACTCCATCTTCGATCCCTGTCTTCTTTCACTCTCCAGGGTGATGCGTTCCCGGAGTTGAGGAAAGACCCAGAAATGGTGAAGGACATTATTAATGAGGAGGAGGTGCAGTTCCTTAAAACCCTCAGCAGGGGGCGCCGTATCCTCGATAGAAAGATCATGAGTCTGGGAGACTGCAAGACCATCCCAGGTGAGACGCACTTAACAAAAAGTGTTACCACTTACATACATACATAGACCCATACATAGATATCATTTTAACAAGTTCAGAGCACCACTGTTGTTTATATTCTCCTGCAGTCATCCTCTTTAATCCTCCCTCTAACTTATATCTCTGCTCAGAATGTGTTAAGTGGCATTAAAGATCAGTGTTTCTTCCTTCATTCTCCACTCTCTCTGTCTCAAATCTTTCTTATTAACTATTTAAATATTGACAGATGGTTGTCTACGTCAGGTTTTCCTATTTTACTATGTGTACACATGCCAATAAAGCTGACGCTGATCGTGCTTCAGACAGACGCCCCTCCTGCATATTAAGCAGCTTTTTTCTCTCTCTGTGTGTGTGTGTGTGTATCCAGGTGACACAGCATGGCTGCTGTATGACACATACGGCTTCCCTCTGGACCTGACCTCCCTCATCGCGGAGGAGAAAGGCATGGGCGTGGACATGGCTGCCTTCGAAGAGGAGAAGAAGGCCGCACAGGTGAGGAGATGAAAGGAGGGATGGAGGGAAAGTGAAAGAAACCTTCTGATATTTATGAGTTTGGCCTGTGAGGGGGAACTCCGCTGAACAGTGTTTTGTGTCTACTCCCATGGGTACATTATTTCACCCTGCGTCAGCGTTCTCTAGTATTGCACTGTAAGTTAGAACCAGGAGTCATGCACCTGCTGTTTAAATAAACCCTGATTTACTTTACAGCCCTGTGCTAATCCCTCGTTATTTGATTTTACAAAAAGTTTCCTGCATTACTACAGCTTCAGACTGCTGTCCAACACATCCCAGTAAACTAATGTCTGTGTACATACCGGCTCCGCGGTCTGAGTTCGACACACCATACCATTTATATTTCCTCTTCATCCTGTCATGTACACTCAGTTTATTAGGCACAATCTGAGGTAATACAACACAGTAGCCCTGCAGTAAATCCTAACTTTGTGAAGCTTGTAAAGTTTTGAGAGAGAGAGAGAGGGAGAGAGAGAGGAGTATGAATATGACACAAACTTAACAAAGATAGGATGTATTCCAGGGCTTTTGTGTCGAATTATATTAGATTGTACAGGAATGCACACTTTTATTATAATAAATGTAAGCTAGAGTATTGCTGCCTGGTATACACTTTACGAAACAAAGCCGATTCATGAAAACCGGAAACCAGAAAACTTTGATTTTTGTTGGTTGGACACAGTCAGGTTTAGACTTGTAATGAGAAAGATTTGTAGCCCTTACTTACCCAGTTTAAAATGTCCTGTTAAAAAATTAAATTGCTAATACTTTTCTAATTCATGTTTCATTCATTTCTCGTTTGTGTCCACCGAACTGACCACGTGTTGTAGATTTCCTCCTTTATAACTGAGTTTGTGTTTGTTTGTGTAGCTGAAGTCCCAGGGTAAGGGCGCAGGAGACGCGGACCACATCATGTTGGACATCTACGCCATTGAAGAGCTGAGAAACAAAAATATCCCCGCCACAGACGACTCTCCCAAATACAAATACACTTCGGACGAGACCGGAAAATACGGTTAGTGATTCACACTCTCACCAGCAGGCGTTTTAAAGATCCCCTCCAGACATGTATTAAGACATAAATACAAATGGTTGCTTGGAACCGTACTGTGAGTCTGATATGCAAAAACAGTATAATTTCCACATTAAAATCCTTAAAAAGGCATCTACTGCTACCTCATTAAAAATTCCAGACTCTATGAATATGCTAATTTTGTTCATTTCTAAAGTTTTCCTGCTGCACACAAGCTGTCTCCTACTTCACTGTGAAGTCCACTTTCAGTGTCTGTGCACTGGAGGCTTCAAGTTTCTACTTCACACTCATATAAGTTGCATACTGGACCAGGATTACTGGAGTCGTGCCTGTACACCCCCCAAAAACATCCTTCTAGTGTCAAAGTCTGCACATACATCATTCAAACATCAAACTGTACCTTGAGTTCAGCTTCGTCGGCTATATTCACGCACTAACCGTCTGCCTGTTTGCGTGTGTAGAATTTGAGCAGGCCACAGCCACAGTGCTGGCCCTGCGCCGTGACCGCGCTTTCTGCGACGAAGTGACCACGGGTCAGGAGTGCGGTGTTCTGCTGGACCAGACGACCTTCTACGCCGAGCAGGGCGGACAGACATTTGACGAGGGCTACATGCTACGAGAGGACGAAAGCACAGAGGATGTAAGTGCGGTGAAATTAAATAAATACTATAATGAAAAGTGGAAAAATGTGCTTCTCAGTGGTTTTTAACGAGCTCCACTGATGCTGTTTGACATTAACACCATGAGGTTTGAGGCATTAAAAAACTCATTAGGGTAATTTTCAGTGTTTGTTGCTTTTTCCCCGAACTATACAGTGGTCACATTGCAGGTTAAACAAAAATCCAGGCTTTTGACGAAGCTACAGTGAAATCACCCTTTGTTGACACTTAATTGGGGAGAAAGGGCAATTACACTATCAATCACAGTTGGTGTTTAATCCCTCTAGGGGTGGCCAAGTCCCAAGCAGTCACAGTTTGCTGAGATTTTACCACTTAAGGGTTTATTTACAATGTGTGATAACGTGACTGGAGCGGAGTTTAGACTCCAGTGTGGGCGAAGGCCAATATAAACCGAAATCAACTGTACCTCGGCAAGCCACCAATATAACCTGAAGAAATAAAAGAAACCTAATTCAGTACGGCAAGAAGCTACATAGTAAACAGAGTGGCCGGAAAATGATTTGTTAAAAAGTGTGGGAGCCCTGATTGCCTCCCTCGTGCCGGCACAGACCTATTTACATACACACATGCTCACACCTGGTGCACATCATGCATACTTTTGTTCTGAGACACACACACACAGCAAGGTCATAACAGACTGGTGGGTAATAATAATGAGTGGGGGAAAAAAGCCCCTTCTTCTCTGTCAACGGCTGCCAAATGACATATCACCATTTTGATGGGAGAATAGATGAAAGATGATAAATTGTTCTCATCTTTCTTATGAGTGAGAACACGAATGGCATAAAAACCTATTCATATCACAGTTTGCAGAAGACATCTGTCGGAAAAAATCCATTCAAATGTCAGTCTTTTGTATGTCTGGATATATTTTTTTCTAATATTATCATTTTTGCTGAGGATGTGAAGGCATGCTGAAGGAACCTCGTCTGCTTTGATAAGCCTTTATGTTCTCTCCCGTATCCGACACCATTTCTTAAAGCACTTCAAAAGCTTTCCAAAAATGTATATTTAATCTCCAAATGCTTCGACAAAACGCACACAGAATGCTCCAGCCAGCTTTCTAAATAACTAACTTCTGCAGAACAAGAACATATCTCAGCAATGCTGTCCCTTCATATTTTCTTATTTCTTTGCAGCGGATGGAGTTCACAGTGAAGAATACGCAGGTCCGAGGAGGTTACGTTCTCCACGTGGGGACGGTTTACGGCACGCTGAAGGTTGGAGACCACGTTACCTTACGCGTAGATGAGGTGAGAACATATGTAGGATACGTCATACATGATGTTGTTCATTATCAGTCAGTAAAACAGACACATTTTCAGGATCTGTTTCTGACCTCTGTCTGTTTTTTAGCCCTCTGGAAGGAGCTCTGATCTCTCTGACAAATATCTGTTTGTATTCTCTTTGCAGGCTCGTCGTAAGCCCATCATGAGCAACCACACCGCCACACACATCTTAAACTTCGCCCTGCGGGGAGTTTTGGGGGAGGCAGACCAGAGGGGCTCCCTGGTCGCCGCTGACCGCCTGCGCTTTGACTTCACTGCTAAAGGTGCCCTGAGCACGGGGGAGGTCCGGCGGACTGAAGAGATCGCTTGTGCCTTGATAAGAGACGCTAAGGTCAGTGGGGGAATACACATAAAATAGTCACACACTAGAGTCTTTAGATATGAATGATGTTGATGTAGCTCAACTGTTTAGACCTCCAACCTCCCTGAAACTGTAACAGAAATAAGCCTTTGTATGAGAAAGTAAATGGTTAATATCTCCAGTGTCTTTTTTAAAATCTTGGAATAATTCAATTAAATCTAAACCATCAGCTGACGGTGCGTTCTACTTTGCTCTCTCCAGACGGTGTACGCCATGGAAGCCCCACTAGCACAAGCCAAGGCCATTCAGGGTCTGCGTGCCGTGTTCGATGAGACCTACCCCGACCCTGTCCGAGTCGTGTCTATTGGGATCCCCGTTGAGGACCTGCTGAAGGACCCCGACAGCGCTGCTGGTTCCCTCACCTCCATTGAGTTTTGTGGTGGAACGTGAGTCTCCAGTTTTTTTTTTTTTTTTTTTTTTTTTTTTTTTAATTTTAACAAATATCAACTGCAACAGAACATAGGGAAGTTAAAAAAACACCAGTGAAATTCATATTTCCTATTTGCAGTCTAAGCTGTCAGTCTGAAGCAGAGGCAACCATGTTTCAGAAAAGATTTTAATAAAGATAACAGTAGCTTCCTCGATATCTGAGTGTGTCACTATTAGGCCTTTGTGCCCTACAAAGCCACATGTAGTACCTATCACAATTGATTATAATCTTTCTTTTCTTTTTTTATATGTTTCTTTAGATTATATGTTAAAAAAAGAAAGCTGTATCACAAACACCTTCCTTTCAGTGTTTGCATCTGCTCGAAGCCACCCGTTCCTCCAATGTGTCAGACCTGCCAAGTGGCGGTGTGTAAAGTGGAAACCATTAATTGGATTTGCGGGTCTTTACGGCGAGGCGACCGTGTCCCTGTACAGAGAAGGCCTGGAACATTTTGTGGAGCTCAATCCAGCGATTAGACTTGCTCCACTGACTTTTACAATGTCTGGCTCCTGGCTGTAAAATTCCCCTGAATGCCGAGACGTCCCCGCTCTGACATAGATTATAGCGAGACTTTTCATTTTATTTGATTACTGTCGGAAGTCGAAATGATTTCCAAACTGCGTTTTTGTATAAAGTTGATTTAAACACTGTGAGGCTTGTTTTTTAATTGCATGTGCCACCATCTTACGCCGCTTCAGGTTGTAAAATATTCCTCTTTAATAATCTGATGTCATCTTTTGAAGCGGCTGCAGATTAAAACAACATCAAAGAATCCCTTGTTCCTGCTGCTGTTGTTGTTGTTTAGTACTGTTTTTCTCTCCTGCTCGTGTTCCTCCTTCTCTTCACCGCTCTCCCCCTCTCAGCTGCCCCCCCACCCCCCACCCCACAGTTGTGTAACGCTGTTGGTAATGTGCTGTTGGTTTCTGTTATCTGCAGCCATCTGCAGAACTCGGGTCACGCCGCGCCGTTTGTCATCGTCTCAGAGGAGGCCATCGCTAAGGGCATCCGCCGCATTGTTGCTGTGACAGGAACAGAGGCCCAGAAGGTCAGAGCACACGCACGCGCACACACACACACACACACACACACTTGCTTCCAGCATTATGCTCATATCCGCACATCCACCCACACTAGAAAAAGAGTTTTAAATAAAGATGTAAGATTCCTATAGTGCATGTTTGTCTGAAATTAAATGAATACTTATCGATGGTCAAATAGTCGATCATTTTCTTGCGACTCAAAACAGAAAAACTTTGCTAATTATATGAAAATGCGTCTCAGACTGAGGGGCTATGTTTCTAATTTGTGTCCCTGGTGAGAAAAAGCTCCTCGGTGATAAAAAATGAATGAAGCTTGTTTTTGACTTGTGTTGAACTCGGAGCTAAAAAGGAGCATGTTGCATTTTCCCACTATCCAGGCCCGGAGGACAAATTAATCTTTACTATTTTTAGACAACAAGTGCAGTTTGATCCTCCGCCGTGTCTTTTGCTTCTTGCTTCCCCCACTCTGCTTCTCTCTCTGTCCCTGCACTTTCCGCTCTTCGCCTCCGTCCCTTGTCTCATGTCTCTGTGTCTCACATCCACCAGGCCCAGAGGAAAGCCGATTCCCTGCAACAGGCTCTGTCTGCACTTGGAGACAAGGTGAAGCAGCAGACGGCCCCGAATAAGGACATTCAGAAGGAGATCGCAGACATGACTGAGGTAAATAGCTTTTCTTTTCGTCTTTTTAGATAATTTTTTGGGGGGTTTTTACCTATATTTGGTAGGAAGAGCTGAAAAGAGGCAGGAAAGGGGGAGAGACAGAAGAGATGACATGCAGCAAAGGGCACCAGGCCCTCACCTGATTCGTAGAACCTGCTAGTTACTCGGTTGTAAGAGTGCAAGAAGACGTAGTAATGTTAACGTTTCATAAACAGAGACTTTATTTCTGTTCTGTGGCGGCAAACACAACACACATCCTATTGCTTCAGTAAAGCAAAAATATTTCTTATCCAGTGAATCGATTAGTCGATGGAGTTATCCCTAATCGATACGTCCGTCCTCTCTGCAGTCGATAGGCACAGCCGTGATCTCCCAGTGGCGGAAGGACGAGATGAGGGAAAACCTGAAGGGGCTGAAGAAGATCATGGACGACCTGGACCGCTCCTACAAGGCTGACATCCAGAAGAGGGTCCTGGAGAAGACCAGCGAGGTGATCGAAAGCAACCCCAACCAACCGCTGCTCATCATGGAGATGGAGACCGGAGCCTCGGCTAAGGTGAGACTCAATACAGGAGTTTTTTAACAGCCTCCTAAACAAGACCCTGCATGCACATACAAGAGTAAATCTATAATCCAAACCCCGAGTTTTCATCAGCATCTTGAACAAATATAAATGAAAAGCGCAAACAGTATTAAAATTCAGTTTATCTCTGCAGCACTGCACATTTTCTCAGGCAGGCTCGTAGCTTATCTCATTGTGTTATTGCCATGGGACCGAATCAGCTCTGTGGCCCATTAATTCTGACCTTGAGACATCAATAGTGCTGATTGGGAGAGTTTTTTCTTTCTTTCTTCTCTCTCTGTTTCTACTCTTCCCCCCGCTTACATTCATCCTCCACTTCTTCTCTCCCTCCGTCGCTCTCAGGCGCTGAATGAGTCACTGAAGCTGCTGAAGTCGCAATCCCCCCAGACCGCTGCGATGCTCTTCACCGTAGACCCCGACGCCGGCAAAATCACCTGCCTGTGTCAGGTCCCACAGGTAAGGCACCCGTTCACCCAGTCACACAGTGCGCTGCGAGCCCTTCACTGCCCCATCTAACTCCACCCCCTACCTCTCTTAGGAAGTGGCCAAACGCGGCCTGAAGGCCAGCGAGTGGGTTCAGGAGGTGTGCCCGCTGCTGGACGGCAAAGGAGGCGGCAAGGACATGTCGGCCCAGGCCACGGGCAGGAACACGCAGTGCCTGCAGGAGGCGCTACAGATGGCCAACGAGTTCGCACGGCTTAAACTGGGAGAGAACTGAGAGAAGAGAGGAGGAGGAGATGAGGTGGCAAACACAGGCTGAGGGGGGGGAGCAAGGTGGAAAATGAGGTGATGAATGATGAGTGAGTTATAAACCACCAAACTTTCCTGCCACCATTTCTTCTCCTCTTTTCTTCTCCTTTTGGGTCAGAAAATATTAGAAAACAAACAAAACTCTCGGGTTTCTCGCTGCCGCCATGTTGACAGACGACCACTGACACTCAGCCAGCTGTAAATGAACCACTTCTATATTTATTGGGACAATGATTGCTGACTTTTCCCAGTAAAAAAAAAATCATGTCTGTGGAAATTGCTTGAATATAAAGGAAAGTCCTCTCACACAGTTTAGAGAAAGAGGCAGATGATTTGAGAAATTGTCCACTTCTTTATTGCATGCTTGTGTGCAGAGGGAAAGAAAAGAGATTGATTTATCCTCCTACAAGTACTGTACAGCTCACACGAAGCAACAAAAACTGTAGTTTCTGTTGTGAGCGTGAAGTTGGCTCCTGATTGACTTCCATCCTGCCTCTGTGTTTGTGTTTCATCTCACTGCAGCCCTGTTTATTTAAGTACAACCCTCACAGCACTTTGTCTTTCCCGCTTGTTCAGGGCTGCTTTAAACTGCAACAGTCTCAACTTTTTGCTTTCCTCAGCCCTCAAAGGAAAGTCAGCTCAGCTCCTAAATGATTTGGGTGCAGTATCCACAGCTTTCCATCTGATCTCTGAGCAGTGGCTCCGTCCGTCTGTGTGAGCGAGTTCTGTCCTGTGATCGGTTGGACTCGAGTCGTAGCTGTTTCCTAGTCTTGCTTTTCAAATAACAAGCCATTATTTGACATGTGTAACAAGTCGACGGGTTTAATTAAGTAAATGAATGATTCATTAACTGTATAAAATGATCTTGAACCTATCCAATAATTAATCCGTGTACCTTCATTTTGCTGACATTTAATATCGATTGAATGCAGATTGTTGAAAATGTCTTTTATCATTGTAGCTGTTCCATGTCAGAGAAATGTCACGTTATGGGAATGGAATAAAAAGGACCTGTAAATGCCACACGTGTCCCCTGTTCTTTTCAAATGTGATATATTTGTATTGGTGATTAATTTCAGGGAGGCAGGTGAACTTTACTCTGAACGGAGTTCTGTTGTGATCAATGACACCGCAAGGTTAGACCGAGATCATTAGCTGTGGATCACTGAACAAAAATGATGGAGGTATAAATTCATTAGCGAGTTCTAGCACCATCTATTATTAACAGTTTGTTTAAAGAGAGGAAGTATATGTGCCATGTTCACTGCCTGATGTTGCACCCACAGTACAGCGAGGATTGAGATCTTTTACCAGTAAACATACCAATACTGGAATGAAAATGAAGTCCTGCATTCAAAATCATACGCCATTTAAAGAATGAAATTACATTCTGTGTAATATTTACCTATACGACTGCTCAAAGGTCCCAGTTTCTGCAATTCCAGTGCTGTGTATGGACCCTAGTATGCAGAAATATTCAAATTCACTCAGTGAAAGTAAAACAATTATACAACATGCAAACAGCTGCATGCGATTAGTGAGCACTGGGGTACCCACAGAACACATTTTCATTCAGATATCTTGAGGTCAGAGGTCAAGGATCCCTTTAAAAACGGCCAGTTTTTCCATAGGCAAAGTTCAATCAATGATCTCAGGTCACTTTTCTGGACTGGAAAACAAATTCAACCTTGAAGGGTATTTGGAGGAAAAATAACAGTATTCTCCCCTCTAATGCAACACTGTGGGGACATCGACTAAATGTAAGTTTTAATCATTGAATTATTCTCTTTTGGGGCCAAAACTATTTCGTATTTGGTGTCTGAATTATCCAGTTTTTATTGATGTTATAAAAGTGGTTGTTGAAGGAGAGTAGAAAAACAATTCAGTTTAACAGGTGAGCTGAAAATTTTGAGCAGCAGAGTGTGTGTGTGTGTGTGTGTGTGCGTGCGTGTGTGTGTGTGTATACACTGAGCGGCCTTAACGTGATTATACAGCCCCAGACCAACAGACTGCACTGTGTGTTCTGACCCCTTTCTATCAGAACCAGCATTAACTGTTTCAGCAGTTTGAGCTACAGTAGCTCGTCAGTTGGATCGGACCGCACGGACCAGCCTTCACTCCCCACCTTCATCAATGAGCCTCGGCCCCCCATGACCCTGTCTCCGGTTCTTTTCCTTCCTTGGACCACTTTTGATAGGTACTGACCTCTGCAGACAGGGAGCACCCCACAAGAGCTGCAGGTTTGGAGATGCTCTGACCCAGTTGTCACATCACAATATGGCCCTTGTCAAAGTCGCTCAAATCCTCCTGACTTGCTTCCTGATATATCCCCCCACTGAGTACGTTCTAGACCTTCTCTATTTGACTTAACTTTTGTTATTAATTGGCACTGTGCAAATAAAACTGAATTGAATTAAATATCAAGATAATCAGTGTTATTCACTCCACCTGTCAGTGGTTAATTAATGTTATGGCTGATCGGTGAATATAAATACCCAAAGTAAAGACTATAATTATGCAAATAGGCCTCTTTGTTACATGTGTTACTTTAAAGAGATATACATCTTTTTATATAAAGTTTATTAAGTATGTATTATTATAAACTACCCAACATGAAGTTGGGTTTTATTTAGCTCCACCATGACTATATATTTACAAGGTGGAGCTAAATATATATGTGCAAATAAATTCTATCTGAAATGTGGTGCAGTAGAAGTGTTAAGTCAAATAAAATAGAAATACTCGAGTATTAAGTTTACACATATCTAAGAATGATAGTACAGTACAGCACTGAGGCCAGTTTTATGATTTTTATCTACATATTTTCTTTCACTCTGTAAATCAAAGCCACAAACACAACGTCACACTTGAACCTCATGTTTCATGAAGCTTTTATTTGTACAATAGCATAAGATACAAAGAGTCGGGTCACATATCATACATATGTTTCAATGTAGTAAATACACGTGTACTGCCTTGTCCAAAAGGTAGTCCTACTGAGTGAAGAATGACACATTAAAGCCGGGACTACATAATGAAGCAGGAAACCATCCATCCAAACTGAGACACTAAACTCCCTAAATTCCTGGAGGTTTTTTTTTTTTTTTCCTGCAACCATTTCATATGCACCACCTGTGTGTTTGCTGTTACGACAGACGTATTCACTAAGCGGCCTTTAATCCTACTTGATACTTCATACTTGATTGCAGAGTCCTAGCACAATAGCTGACAGCAGTATGAGTGTTAGCGTTACGATCCACAGAGACAGTCTGATATGTGCAGCCTGCAGCTCGGCGACTGCTGCTAAAGAGCCGTTTCTGTTCAATGCAGACCAGTGAACTGATGAGGAAAGAGCTGCCTGAGGCTGTCCTCACCTCAGCCCTCGCACACCACAACAAGCTGGCAACAGTCGCAGGCGATGTCACGATGCCAGCAGCCTGGACCCGCAGTGTTTTTGATCAGGATGTATTTGTTCCTTGGAGCTCTTTTCTTCTAACAGCCAGTGCAATTTCTGTCCCTGCTGCAGAAACCTATTCTCCATTACCTCAGAACGACACCGAGCTGCAGCCGTTGGAAGTGGAAAGAAACAGGTTGAGGAGATGTGAGCGCTATTAAAGTTGTTTTTTTTTTTTAAGCCACAAGAACTGTGATTTCTTCTTTTTACCGGCCCAGATTCTCCTGTGTTACAGCTGGAGACTGGATTGTGTTTCCCCTCCCAGACAACCACCACTTGATCCAATTTTCTGATTTTGTGTTAGCTCTAGCTCAGTAATGAGGTTCTGATTAATATTTTAGAGTAATAAAGCCAAAACCACTATAGCTAGAAAAAAAAAACTACCCAATTTGCACTTTGCACAGCATAAGTATATAGTTTGACAATGTGGGAAAAACACTCATTTTGCTTTCTTGTTGAGAGTGGAATGAGAAGACTGATACTACTCTTTTTCTGTATGCTAAACATGAAGTGATGGTTAGCTGACATATGCATGTGTGGTGTCAATCTTCTCATCTTACTCTCAGCAACAAGAGTGTATTTTAAATGTAGATGCATGTGAGGGATTGAAATGCTATGTAGATATTCTCCCTGACATAAAGACAGTGTCCACTTTTTTCCCCCGAGCTGAACAGGTGAGCTTTCAGACTTCGTTGATTTCCACTCTCATCCTATTTAATTACCTCATAAAAAATTAATGTTATGAGTTTAATGTGGCTCTTTTTCTACCCAGGAAAAAGGATATTAAGTTAAACTCCAGTTGTTTGCGTCTGCTGCTTTGTGCAGTCGTGCAAGGCTCCATTTTTCCCGTTTTCAGGGCAATCAGTAATTGGGTGTTTGTGGCTTTACTGACGTGTGGCTCAGCACATAATGTGTGAGACAAAACAGTGTAAAAATATGCCTGGATGAGAGAGGAACCTGGATTCCACTGACAGAGAAGTAGAACAAAGATGATTTTAGTGCAGGGATGATTCGGGGGGGGAATCAGTCCAGTTTAAGTTGTGACAGAGACTCGCTGCTCGAGTCAGCTTCGTCTGACTTGTTTCTGTCATCAGAGAACTGAACCACACATTCAGATTTCACCTGAGAAAACATGCTGCCCCCTGGACACCTGACCGACCACAAGCCAGGGCCGCGTTACCCCAAACTGCTCCCATCCAACACAGCTCTTTATTTCTTCAGACACTGACCTGAAAACGGGTGCTTCTTCCAGTTATTTTAAGAATCGACTCCAGAGGAAAAAAGAATCGGGTGTATTGGGTCAGCAACAGGAGAAAAGACCTACTTTAGGTTAGAAATGCAACAGGGAACACTCTCAGATCTGTGTCATGCACTTTAGCTGGAAAAAAAAAACCTCCACTCTAATTTAGGCTGACACACAACAGAGAGGAATCACCCTGCTCCCCCACTCTATCTGATCACAATGTTCTGCTCTACAACTGAGAGAAATTGAGGAAGCTGATAACAGTTTCCATGCTGGAACAGGGTCTCCCATGTTTGGGAGGGGTTGGTGGATGCACAGTCGACTATTAAGACTTTTCTTCTAACCCACTGCAGGCCGCATGAGTGTGATAGGAATGTGTTATCCTCCTGCCGGAGAGCCCGGAGATGTTCTAATGAAAGCCGTGTTATCTCCAAAAACAATTTACACATTCATTTGGAAGCTGGAAGGAGCATCTTGGGAAACAAACATCAATAACACAGGACCATGGTAGCCGACAACTCCGGGAAAACACTGAATCATGACAGCAGCGGTGCACACCGGTATCTCTAAACCTTTAGACGCTTTATCATCCTCACCGTCTGTTATTTGTAGCTCAAATCCAATACAGAAAGATAACTTTGTGGGCTTGAATCCAGCAGATGACCCCTCTGTCTGCCATCTTTCCTCACTATACGTTATCTAGAGAAGCACACACTATATGTTCCAAAAAAAAAAATCACAAATGGCCTAATATGAATTCACAGCGAGTCACACTGCATCAGTTTACATCCTCTCCTTTAGCCTACAGCGATCTTTAGATGTCAGTGTACAAAGCAGTAAGAAGTGAAGAGCGGGAGGAGTCTGTACCCCGAGCAGAAGGCAGTGTGTGTTTTCATGAAGTGTGTGTGGGTGTGTGTATACAGCTCAGAAGGCACAGCTCTCAGCCAGAAGATGTGTGTGTTTGTGTGTGTGTGGCAAAAAAAAACAACTAAGCAAAGGTAGCAGGTGTGTGTTGGCGATGGAGCAGCTGTAGGCGAGGGACGTCCAGCAGCAGGACAAGGCACAAAAGCATGAATGTGTGCGTGTGTGAGAGAGAGAAAACAAAAACAATATGTCCAGATTTAAAAATGAGCCCGGCTCGACTCTACGGCATCCTGTAAAATCCTAAATGTGCAAAGTAGGATAAAAACTTTGAAAGCAGATACAAGTACAATGGCGATACATGAGAATCACGTGTGGTTACACAATATCATCCAAAAGATAATACAGTAATACACCAACAGAAATGATTATCAGCATAGGAGGCACAGTTCTTCACATCGCCTGCTGGGGGGCGGTTCCACAACCCAACCCCTCCTCATGTTGTGTACCCTCAGACCTTTTCTCAACAAGTACATGTAAAAAATAAAACACAGGTGTGAGCTTCATAATATCATGTGGTTAAGTCCCTTAACAGCAGACTCCGAGGTTCTCACACATACACAGGTGTTATTTCATATAAAAGTACCATCTGCTGCAGCGGCTGGCACTCACGGTTCCTACACGGCTTCTCTTCACAAATGTATCTTTCTTCACTTGTTTTTTTTTTTAGCTCACTGTATAGCACATTATGAGTCACTAAAACAATACACCAACTGCTTCTAAGGAAAAAAAAAAGTTCTGGTGAACTCTTAGCTGCAACTAGTAAAGTTTTCTCATAGTTTAAAGGAGCATTAAAGGCCCTGAAAACATGTTTTTTTGAATCTGCTCCTTACTGTGCGTCACAGGATCCGACATGAAAAGACAATTTTCTGACAAAGTTACAACAGTTTATGTTATTACAATTAAGAGAGTTCTGCATTTTTTCCCCGTGCTTTTCGCTTGGGGGCCACGGTCAATCAAATCCGATCAAACCACACCCACACAGTCCTGATGAAAACTCAAACTTATAAAATTGTGCCCTGTGGAGTTTATGTTCACATTCAGTGTTGAATCCAAAACGCATTCTGAGTGTCCTTGAGATCTAATGTTGCATGCATTTCCTTCCTCATAAAATTTGCAATAGAGACTTTTTAAAATATTTTAAATCCTGCATTGCTTTCGTCCATGTTGACTTGCTGGCAGTCTTCTTCTTCCCTGGCTTTCTTGCCACATTGCTGCATTTCTTGGCACATTAGCGCCACCTCTAGATCAGTGGAATCATGGGAAACCATTGGCAGGAATCTGTCACCTTGTGTGCGTGAACAAACAAAGCAGGGGCCCACACATGAAAAACATTGCTCCACTGCACTACTAGTGGTCAAAAACTCCACAGGGTACCTTTAACTTTGAGTGTTGCTTATTTAGTCATAAATATTCAATATTATAAAGAAATTGTTTGATTATAGCTATAGTTCAGCGGCATTAAGCAGTCCCTCCAGAAAGTTGCAACTGCAAAAATTAACGCAAATTCCACCTCACTGGAACAAGCATTTGATTTTTTAGTTAATTATAAAAGAGAAAAGCAAAATTTTTTTTCACATTTTCGATTTCTCCTTAAAACATGGCAATTTTTTTTAGAAAATCTGCAGTGAAATCGAGCATTTTAGGATGCAACTATCCCAAAAGAAAGCTGGCAAAATCCTGTAGGGACTGATTAAATCATCTAAAACTTCTATAACTTAAAGTAGCCTGTAACTTACATAAATACTAATTTGTTCCTAAATGGAGTCATTACTGATCAACAATCATTCAAACCCATGCATACATACGTTAGTTTGTTGTGACAGGATAGTAAAAATATTACTTATCACACCCTAAAAAGATTTATTCAGTCACCACTTCTTCGTGTTTTCCAGACCTGCATAGAAACCTTGAGTGCTCTTCCTTGTCAGCCACCAGCTGCTTCTTGATACACTCATCTTTGGATGGATTTACAGCCTCAGCTCTAACCAAATACTTGTATTTTCCTTCCTCTCTGTGGCACACATTTTCTGTTTTCCACTTTTGTTTTTGTCTTTCGATACAGTCTAGCAGCACCTTCCATGACTGATATTTGTTCGGAAGCTATTAATGTGTAAATGGGTATTATTTGATACCAAATCATGATAAAAATCTTTAAATGTGCCACCTGTGTGCAAAAGTAAATCTAATCTGAGCCAATAGCATAAATCCAGCCAAAGTGTAAACCCAAAGGTAAACAGTACATAAAACTAACAAATGAAATCTGCAGTCTGCAGGGGGATATGCCATCATCATGAAAATCAGAACAGTTTATGGTAAGGCGTCCGGTGGCTCCACACCCTCCAGACGTAGCTGAAGTCTGAATTGGCTGAGCAGAGACCAGGGCTAGTGGTTAATGAAGCCGAGCTGCTGACAGGTTAAAGCAGTTCCAAATCCAGTGGGGTTTTCTTTCACCCCCCATCATATGGGCCTTAATCTGGGGTGAAATCCTCCTGACAGTCTCTAACTCCACTGGGATAGGAGGAGTCAGGTTGGAGTTTGAGGTCTGTGGGAAAAGAAGCAGAGCGAGCTTTCTTTTCTTGTCTCAGTCCTCTCAAAACCAAAGTGGTGAACCCAGCAGAGTTTGTGCACATCAACAACAATGTCTTCTCTTTTCATCCAAACATTGGGGTAAATGATGTGTTTCTCATGCTGACTTTGTCAGACTGGTTCTTCATGCTCCAGCTCTCTGTCTCCAGTGCTCCCCTCCCAAAATAGACCTTGACAGACCACATGGGGATTAAACTGCGGTCCAGAAACCAGCGTGCCTCCATCCAAACATGAAATCCCAGGAGATGGACTTTTGGCCTCATTAGAGTCTCATGCAGTCAAACCAACTCTCTCCCAGAACATGTCTCCCTCTGTGTGGATGTGAATACAGACTGTAGCAGGGCCTGCGGTTGCTGTGGTGTTTCAAACCATGCTAGCTGTCTCTGCAGAAACTGAAGCTCATGCTAGTGCAGCAGTGATCTATCTGAGTCAGAATGGCCAAGAGGCAAAAGTCTTGATCATGTTTCTGTGAGTCTGCAGCAAGGTGTCGAAGGCCTTGCTAAGCCCGGCAAGGACCGGAGGGTGGGGGGGGTTTAGAGGAAAGTCATATGATATAAACTCACAGCAATCACGTATCGTCTTATAACCGACCGTTTTATGACTCATCACAGTCAGACAAGGTACTTGTAACACTGTCTTGTGAAGCAGAACTCACATAAAGTGTTATGACAGTGAGAAGTGGAAAGTGAGGTTTGGTCTCGTATAGGAGCAGTTCTTTCTCAAGGGAGTCATGGTCCAGGGTTTTGTTAGAGATGGAAAATTAGTCCTTTAGTCTCAAAATGTTTAACAGCACAATGGCTTCTGATAGCTCCACAGTCTGTGTCCGTGCTGTCAGTCTCGTCTGCAGGCCTACAGAGCGGTACCTGGTATTTGTTCACGCTTTGTTACTGTCAGACACCTCGCGGCTGTGGAACAGTCTCCTAGATGCTGATGTTGGATTTTCTGTGGCCTTTTACAGTATGTACTATACTGTATTTCTGTTAATGGATGAGGATCAGACACTCATCCAAGGTGGGACCCGGCTTTGTCTGTGTGGTACACAGTCAAAGTCGATGTTTGTGGTGACTGACTTGAGTTTTGCTGCGGTCCAGCCCTCATTTGCTTTTCTGAAGCTGCCCTTGGAAAGAGATATGTGGTCTTGTCTTTCAAGCCTCGCGCTGGCAGAACCAATTGCTTCAATGTCAAATTTAAGGCTCAACTCTCACTTTTAGGTCAGTGCTGAAAGTGAGAAGAACTACGTTTGGATCTGGCTGGCCCCTGTTCCCGGAGTCAACACCATGTTCTCCAATCAGAGCCTCGACTGGTGGGCAACCTCCCAAATATGAGGGTAAGTGAATGGAATAACATTATTTGGTACTATTTCGTGACCATTTCGTCTCAACTTCTGTAAGCATTTGGTTTACTTTAACTGGGAACCCAAACTGGTGCAGGTAGCGAGAATATCTAACACATTGTAAGCAGCCTCTAAAGTGTCTGTTGCCGTACCAGCGTTGGAACATTTGCTACACGGGGTGATTTGCTGGTTATTTCCTAGTTATTTCCCAGGGAATACAGTGATTTTGCCAGCCTTGGCCAGCCGTTGGATGATCTGGGCTTCGTAGTCGGCGTCGTGGACACCGGTCTTCCTGAACTCTCCGGAGTAGCGGTTCTGCTCCCAGTAGTGGTGCCAGTTCCCCCGGCTGTCCGCCCCAAAACCAAACACATTCACCTAGAGTAGAGGCGAAGAGCGGGTGTTGGAAAGCAAGCGTGTGTAACAAATGTGTATCTCTTCAGGATGAATATGATGTAAGTGTAGTTTCAGCGTGATGCAAGGATTTACAGAGCGTGGTTGTGTGAAAGCAGAGAGAAACTGACCTCATCGCAGACATGCAGAGCAAAGAACAGCACTAGCATGCCAGTGGAGGGGTAGCGGCCATGATGTCTGGTCCAGTGATCGTGGATGTATTTAAAGAATGCCGGGTTGAAGATCTGGACCTGGGTGGTGGACAGGGACACAGAGAAAATACAGTAATATACTGTCATTAAATTAAACAAAGAGATAATCAAACCCAAACTCCTGCGTGAAAACCAGTTCTGGTTTCTACTGAAACATCCGCCAGAACAAACAGACCCAGTGACTAAAACCGTTAAAGACACTGAATAAAGCAGTTTCCCCTTAAAAATCTGTATTTCTGTGATGCAATTTGGCAGACAAAGGACATCTTGGATGGCGTGCCAGCTGAGCTGCTGCTAACATTAGCTCAGGTTGTTTCTCTAATAACTTTAGATCCATTGACTAAAAAAAATCTAAAATCCTTCATCTGGTTAAAATATGAAGTTAAAAATCAGTCAATCAATCATACAAATGTGGCTTTAAACTGGATCAAAAGTCCATTTATGACTTCTGGCAGACAACCACGATGCTGACGCCGGCACAAAGGGGCTATGTCCCTGTTGATAAGCAACCGGTGAAATGTTATCTGAATAAAATTACAGATTTCTCTGAGTTTGAACATTGTTGGAAAGATTTGAAATAACATAATTACACAACCCAAAATATAATATATATAATATAGGTCCAGTGTTTATGGACATTATAATGCAGAAATGTTGAATCCAATCAATTTCCTCTGAAGTCAAATTAAAAGGTTTCACTTTGATTTATACGGTAACACAGGAAAGATAACCTCATGCAAATCATAGCCGCTGCATTTTTAAAAGGTCAAACCGAACAAGAAAAGATTTTGCCAAGTTAAATTTGAACACGTCCTGAGGTTGTGATTGCTGTGAGAGATTAAAAGCACTGTTAATCAAATGAATAGTAATTACACATTTATCATCTACCTGCAGGTGATGTTCAGTCCCAACAAACAGGGCTTTAGGCTGCTTAGAGCTCCGCATAGGCGGAGTAAATCTTATAAATCTATATTCCTGGGCCGGCTCCAAAGACACTGTAAAGAGTGAGTCTCTGACCAGGCGAAGATCACACAAAGTCCGTCACATAGCGGGGATTAGTTTGAGTTTATTTATTTTCAGGGATTAAAGAGTGAGCAGAAGATTATTTATAGCAAAGGAAAGGTTCATAATCTAACTGTAATCCTTCATCAACAATGGGTAGGGGATGATATAATTGCAAACAAAGCGGGGTCACTCAGTGTGTGGCTGCAAATTTGTACGTGTCTGCAAAATTACTGTGAGTGTGAAAATGGCCAAAAGTAATTGCAGTGAATGATAAAAATACACACCTTGTCTTTATCTACACGGAGGAACTGCTTCACTGGAGCGTATGTACTGGGAGAGAGGGAGAGAGGGAGAAATTGATTAAACACATTCAGTCATCACTTTATGTGATTGCATGCGACTCTGAATTCTGGATGATTGACAGCTGACAGATCGCACCAGCCAAGCGACTCCCTGGCTTCTCACAACTCTACTGTGTGTGTGTGTGTGTGTGTGTGTGTGTGTGTGTGTTTGTGTGTGTAAAATGAAATGTATTTATGTCCTAACTATATACTAATTGTCTCTGTGCCTTAAAGTCAAACATTGGATACCATTTAGTGTGCACTATTAGACAACTAACTAACAGAATTAGTTTAATGTTTGTTTGCACTCACTGGGTGTTAATCCGTGCTTATGCATAGCTGTGTGTGTGTGTGTGTGTGTGTGTGTGTGTGTGTGTGTGAGCTTGTTTTACTACAATTGTCAACAAGCTGGAAGGCCCCCACAACTTTAAAGGGCTGTTTTTAGTCTGTTACATCTGATTCATAGTTGTATGTTGGCTATACCTCGAGCCTGCACAGTAGCCTTTGCAAGTGACCTACGCGGTTGCAGCATTCACATCTGTGTCTGCGTTGCTCCAAAGCGTTAGTTGGTGGTTAAAACTCTGAATCTGCTCTGTGCTTTTCTACTTTTGTTTATTTTCTTCCTACCTACAGCGTCCATTCGACACAGAAGTATGAATCAGGCTTTAGGGTTAGAATTAGGCACTTAGTTGCGATGGTCAAGGTTAGGGTAAGGGGCTAAGGAATGCATTGTCAATGATGGGTCCCCACAAATATAGTAACACCAGGATTTGTGTGTGTGTCTTCTTACAATCGAATTTGGCCGGTGGACAGAGCGCTGGTGATCCAGACGAGATCCAACGTTTTGAAGGGAACCAGGACGAAGCTGACGTTGGCCGCCAGGTTCTTGGCGCTCTCCGGATACATGAAGTGGTGAGTGGTGTGGCTGCCGGCATCTTCTTCGTAGCCCACCGTGGGGGCCAGGTTTATCCTAGGAGCAGGAGAGGAACAGCTTAAGAGATGAAAATACTGGTATTATATGCAACTAGATGACCTAACGCATCTATTGGTACCATGCTGTGCTAGCATGTTGGGAAGGGAGTTACGTAACGCTCCAAACTTAGGCAAAATGTTGGCTTGATTGAGCACCCATGAGTTGTCTATTTTTGCTAGTGTTTCTGAATATGTCTGCATACTGGGGACCATAAATAGTATTGAAATTGCATAAATTGGGAATGATCCAGTCACAAATGTCTGGACACACCCCTGCTTGGGGCCACAGATTTTCTGAGGTGGTGCAAGGTTTTAGAAACACTGATATGATAAGAAGATTTGGGCCAGTGTAACCTTCAGTCAGACAGTAACTGAACCAGCTCTGTCTGCACCCTTCAGACTTTTGCTGTATTTACAGTGGATGTGACTAACTGTCTGGAGGAGTGAGCTGTTTATGTAAACAGGAAGAGGCACCTGGAAAAAAAAAAAAAGGATAAAAATTGGCCAGTGAGTGCAGCTACCCATATGTCAGTGAAGCAGATGTTTTTTCAGACACTAGGGGAGTGAAAAGGCAGACAGACAGGAGGTGGGTGGTGGTGGTGGTGGTGGTGGTGAGCGAGACAGTTGCAGTCCATGCTGATTTTTAAAACAAATGAGACTCAAACCACAGCAATGAGAGAAGCACAGGAGGAGATGGAAGTTGGAGGCTGCCCACACAGGTCTACTGAGAGCAACACTAATGGATGCTAATGGCTTTAGCACACCGACACACAAAATACTAGTCATTCCAGCAGAGGCTTTCATGCCACAAGCACGTGGCCACAGCACACACACATGCACATGCACACACACGCTGCAGGAAACAACATATAGCTGTGTGTTCATGCCAACTGACAACAATCAGGCTCTGTGATTCATTACTGCTGCACGAAAACGACGAATCGCTCGAGAACAAAAGGATTTGTGTGCCTCCCTGCATGAGTGTGTATGTGAGAGACACAATTTACGCATTTCAGCTTCTTAGGACATTAAGCACTCTGTGGTGACCTCACACCAGGCAGGTGACTTTCTCTGCCAACCAATCGGAGAGGACAGCATTAAATACTGAGATTAAATATAGATTCAGCCACACATCTGCTGTCCGCTTCTTTATAAGTACTTAGCCCTTTTGCACACACATAATCTTGCATGATGTAACTTTAATGGCACATACTATGTTATAGATGTCTCCTGGCATTAACTCTCTCTTCCCTCTTATACTCTCCAGCTGTCTCCCTCCTATTCCTCCTCGTCCTCCTCCTCCTCCTCCTCTGTTTCAGTCATCATCTTGGCCTCTATCTCCATATCTTAAAGGTAATCTGCATCCAGTCTCTGGTCTCATCCATCCCTCTCACCTCATGATGTAGTTGTGTCCGTCGATGGTCGCTCCATATCCGGCCCCGCGGAGGTTTCCGGAGTTCCCCACCACGGCGCAGCGCAGGCAGCGTCCCGGATCCCACGAGCCGTACGGCGACCTTCCCGGAATCACCTGCGATAGACAGCCATGATCGAATCAAGCTAACTGGATTCAAACTATACTAGCTCCAGACATATAAAACAACATCAAACAACCTAACATGCAGCTCAGACCTGATCATAAAAATACATCCTGCTCTCAATACTGAAGTGAATTCTTCATGAGAGCATCCAGAAAAAATACACGAGCCTCCTTCTGAGATATTTATACATACGGCCTTATGTGAATGCACTGCGCTGCATTGAGTTAGAATAAGAAAAGCAAGATATATATAGATACATTAAAAAGAAATGAGCTGGATCACTGATAGACCTAATGTCTAATAAAGACAATCTATTCCCCTAAGCCTTTGTCCAAGAGTGTAAAGTAATGACTTGGCTGATTTGAAAGTACCAGGGTAATGGAAAGATGAATTAATAATATAAAATACCTGGAACAACCTCAGCAGCACCTGCTGGATGCTGTGGGGTTTAAACTGGGGCTGTAACATCTAGAGAGAAAGAGAAAGAGAGAAAGAGAAAGTATGGTTAGAATGCATAGTCTCTCCTCTGCAGACAAATCGGATGTGACAACAGACTTTATATTTAGTTACTTTCTGTGCACCCATGTACGTGCGTATGCATGCACTTGCCAGCATTCATGTGCAAATAAGCAGGTGCTTGTGCCTGTGTGTGTATGTCTGTGTGTGTTTAGGTAACAGCCATATGTCAGACTGACAGGATGCAGTCAGACTGGGCAGGCTGTGGTCAGAGGAGCAGAGACATCGCTGTCCACATGTCAAAAAAAAGCTGAATAGAAAACAGATGGCAGCAACAAGAAGGAAACTTGTAAACTTCTCACTCCAACTAACGTTTATGCTTTCAACGGACAACTTATTCGTATCCGGTTGTCGCACAATAACTGTTTATTACACAAAAAAACATATAGCGTGCTAAAGTGTCTTTCCGGGCACCTTTTCTTTTGCACTGTCCGTCACCAACAACAGGGAGATGTCCAGAGGACCTACAGTTCTACTCGGAGGGATAAACAAAAGTGACAGCAGAGATGACGACAAGCCTCTCCTGTCTGGCTGAGTCAGAAATGACCAGAATAAATGAGAGTGGGTAAAAAATGGAAAAGTTATGTGTTGAATGCAAAGAGAAGAGGTAGCAGAAAAGAAGCAGGGCAGTTTAAAGAACAGAAGATGTAAATGGAGTTGAAGGAAAGCCGGGAGGAAGATAATACTGTAGATGATTTCTCCCTTTAAGTACCCGACAGTCAAAGCAGCACCGTGAATGTGAAGAATCAGTTTTCTATGCAAGGAAACTTTTATTCAGGATTTCCTCTTCAGCTACCTTGAAAACAGCCTCAATATGCTGTTGAATTTCTTGTTGGAAAACATGCAATGCCATAAAAGTGCTTCAGATGGAATAGGATCCATTAAAATGTTAATTAGCCAGGTCGCTTAATTAAAGACTTCTGTAAAAAGCAATAAATAAACTCTGGTCCAAATGGAGACGATGGTAAGCTTTGTAAATGGTAAGCCAAAACTAAATTACCGGTAATAAACACAAAATAATAAACTTAATTTGACTAAATATAGTCTTGATTTATCATCATCATTATTTCACAATAAAATGTGTTTTATTTTTGAGGGGAATTACATTTTTGGGAAAATACTTTAATGAGAATATTTGAAATAAATAACAATATTGGAAACCTGGCACTCCTCACTTTTAGATGTAAAGCACCACACGAAAGTGGCAGTAATTCCTTGACATTTATCAGGTAGCTCCACCTACAGGAAAGGAAAGTAACAGCATATGTAACCTGTTGGTGTCGCCTCCTACAGGCAAAAATGAGTTGCCTCTATTTAACAGATCAAAAAAGCAGATGTGTGTGTTACAGCTCCTACAGCTTCTATCGCCTAAAATATGCAGGATAATTCAACAAACTAATATTTGTTGAGTCAAAACTCAGATGGCTTTTAAAGGTCCAGTGTGCAACTAACTGAATACCCCTCGCCTCGCCCTCCCCTTCCAACTGTGTAGGCTGTAAAAATATGTGAAAAATGCTAAAGGATCTATCTAGAGGGGGTACCTGAAGGCATTGTATGTTCTAGGTTCATTCAAAGGTAACACAAAACACAATGATTCCTATTTTCAGCTTATTATACACTAAAAACATACATACCTAATATTATATTCCATTTCTGCCAATAGATCCTCCTAAATGTTATAGCTACCTATTTTTACTTGTGCAATACCTTCATGACCAAATGCTGAACTAATGACATTCCCTTCAGCCTCAGCTGTACCTTGTGTTTACTAGTATTTAACACATTTTATCATGTTTTAACACACTAAACACTAAACACATATTAGCATGCTCACAATGTGGGTTGGAGGGTTATATTTAACTTTTCCAACCCCTGTTATTAAAATAATAAAGATGGATTTTAAATACTAGAGACTCTTATATACCAAAAAGACTAATTTTGGAAGAAACACGTTTTATTTGATTTACACAGACTCATACTCGAGTTGAAGTCTCATATTAGTTTCAGATAAACCTTGAAATATATTTTTGCCCAGAATGGGATCTTTGTGTTTATCAGCTACATTGGAAGAGCATAGGAACGGATCTGTTAGGCCAGCATGAACAAGAGGAATGATTACAGTAAAACCTCTTTCAGTATGTACATAGTGGAACTATCCTTTAACCTCAGTGCTCTCAGCAGACACTTTAGACTGACAGAGTCTGTGCTCTTAGAATCAGAAATTATTGTGAACCCAGTTGTCCACAGTCGAGATTAAAACCATATTTCTATATTTCTAATATTTCATATATATTTTTTTTTAGCTTTTTGGATCGTGGTTTCGAACAGCTTCCTTGTGGGACATAAAGAGAATGATGACACATACTAGCAGAAGCTGACAGAGAAGTTGTCTGATTAAAAAAAAAAAAAAAATAAAAAATCTTTTAGTATCTGCCAAAGCACACAGGCAAATGTGTATTCATGCGTATAAAGAGAAAGTGAGCCACCTGCATACACACACGAAAAAATCCCCCAAAACAAAAATGCGCAAGCGCACACACACACAAGTTCGATGAGGAATTTGGCAGCCACTTCATTAGCTGTTCCTCTCCATGAACATCTTTTCCTTTCTCCTTCTCCCTCTCTCCCACACTGCAATCTTCATTTTCGCACTCCTTTGTCACCACTTCCTCTTCACCCACCATCGGCCTTAATTCGCTTCTCCCAACACAGATCTCATTCACTTACAATTTCATTCACACATCCTCTCGAGCAGTCTCCTTGTCCTCATGTCTAATTCCTTCTCTTTAATTTCCCTTGCTTCCTCTTTGTTTCTCCTCCTCCTCCTTGTCTTTCTTCATCTCTTCCTCTCTCTGGGACGCCTATGCACCACGCAGCTCATCGGTGCTGATCAGAGACCACTAAATCTTTCCTTTACTCTCTCTGACTTTGTTTCTCATGCTGTTACCTCTCTGCATTTTTCTTTTTCTCCTTCCCTCTATGTTTTTCATCCTCCTTGATCCCTCCATCCTTTGCCTTCTTCTGTCTCTGACTCCCTGCATGATGCCAGAGCCAGCTTGGCAAGCTGCACTGCTGTTGTTCAGGGGCTACTAATTTTTGGCAGATGTTTTTTGGCAGCCCTGCCATCTTTCTTCCTACCTCTTAGCTGTCCTCTGACTCCTGAAGTATAAACTCCCTGATACCTACTTTTAAGTAAGCACAACTTACCTTTTTTTGCTTAAACTAATAATTGACATTGGCAGAACGTTGCTCTTCCAGGATCCACTGCACCATATGTCCGTAAATTCAAACTCAGTGTTAACTAAGTGGAGATCACTAAACTGAAAGGAGTTCAGCACCACACAACCAATGTCTCACATAGAGATTAGGGCTGCATGATATGCATATCGCGATTATTTTGACAGATATTGCGATTGTTATATGATTCACGATTAGTGAGTATAATTTTCACTGAAAAAACTATTAAAATCATGATGATGAATGACATTTGTTGAGGTCTATAGTACCAAAATAACATGATTTCTGTCTGCAGCACTATTGTAAATCATTATAATGCTGTTCTGATACACATTTTACCTTTATCAAAATAGTGCAGCTTCTGCAAGTTCAATATTGCTTTTGCCCATATTCCATAATATTTCGATTAATTGTGCAGCCCTAATAGAGATTAGTTGTGATTAAATATTACCACCCATTAACTGCCAGGTACACTGATCAGCCATACGTGTCATAGGTGACGTGAATAACACAGATGATCATGGACTTTATGCACAAACTAGTTGGCTGAACTCTAATTTCAGCCCCTTTTTGGTAGCCAATGTACCAAGACTCAAATCAAGCATTTTTATTTTAGTTTTAGCTCTCAGTATAAACCAAATTACAAATACGCAAAATGATTCATTGAAAATCACCAAGAGTGATTTTTCCAAGTGAATCAAAGTGGCGGGTAAGACATCCCTTAATCAGTGAAGATTGTTGGTTGAGTGTTTATCATGTTAAATCTGAACATGTTGCACCAAACCATGAACGTCATTTAAAGTCCTGCACAGCAAATAATTCTTTAAAATGTTTCTTTCATTTAACGCTTGAGTCCTTCCTCTCGGGAGGCAGGAGCGCACAATAACACATTAGGTTTGACTGAAGAGGCTATACTCCAATCATGCATACTAGGAAGGCATTTTCATTTTGCTCCCTAACACTGGTTGATTGGATGCGGGATTAACAGCAAGTGAAGCAGTGCAAAAGGAAAAAGAAAAAAAAAGACACAGCAGAGCGGTTATTTCACCATTTTGTTTGGTTACATCGACTCTCCATATTAAACCACTTCAGACTGAAGAATAGAAGAAGAGAGAAAAGCAGTAATTGACCGGGGAGTACTTACACGGCTACCTCTCACCATGCATCAGTGATGTCTGCCTCAAAAACTCTTTACCAGGAAACAACCCTCTTATTCCGTCTTCTGATTCCTGACAGAAAGAGCTCTAAAGTCCCGTCACATTACAGCGTCCCTAAAGCTAATATTGGTGAGAATCAAACACAGAGGCCAGTGCATTATTCCTCCTGAGGTCTCTGACCCTTTACCTCTCTATTCTTTTTTCATCTCCACCGAGCCGTCAATTAACTATAGTTAAGCTAAAATGGTTTTATTGATCTTTGGTAGTGGATTGACTGCAATAACAAAAAAAACAAAAAAACAATGTTTCTCCTTTGCCACACTCTTGATTGATATCAAGCTACTGTAAAACAAAACTCAACACTTCCTGGTGTTTTTCTTTCAAATTAAAAGCCAACCTAAAGGCTGCAAGACTTTTACTGTGATAAATCTGGAGGAAGTGTTAAATTTTATTTATGGCAGTTGTTGTAGAGATGGAATTGGTGCTGTGGAAATATACGTAATACTGAATTTATCAAGTTGTGAGTTTGTGTTATCTGGGGAACAGGGAAATGAGAAATAAAGGCCAGTCTCTAATATAAGCCTATATATTTATATATGTATTTCTACCTTTCAAAGTTGACAGGAACCACCCCTAAAGGTCACAGTGACTTTATGGTCTTCCTAAAAACAGCCCTTTATAGATTTCTCTCACATTTTCTCTCACATTTCACAGTTGCTGATGTTTCTAGCAATTTTGAAGATATTCTAACTCTAAAAACTTTGGGGTGACATAATGCATTCATGGCTGGCATTTGTTAGGAGAGACAGAAAGGAAAGTCTGAAATCGGGTTAAGATTTCAAGAATTGTGGGGAGTAAAGGCGACATGTTAAGTGCCAGACTGTGTTCTGTCTGATAAAGAATAACAGAGAGGCATCCCCGACAAGAAAACAGAGCAACAACACAATCAAATCAAAGTCCGCAGAGACTGGTATGTTTATCCTTCCTCATGTGGCCCTTCACTTTTCTTCTTTGTTCTCAAGTTTGTTTCATCGTTCTATATTCCTTCTTTCTTCCCTTCTCTTCTCTTCTCCTGTCCTCCTTCCCCTCTCCCTATTTCTCTGGTTTATTTGCAAATCTGTTTCATCCCTCGCTCCCCTCACCATTTTCCGACCGTCCGTGTTTCTTCCTTCTTTGTTTTGTTCTATACGTGAGCACCTCTGCACCTTCCCTATCCAACCTCCCCCTCCCCATGTCTTTTCTTCCTCTCATTTATTGCTCTCTCCCAGTTCATCACCTCTCTGTTGCAGTGTGACCTAATGACTTGGCAGCTGTTGGCCTGTGTTTGCAGTTTTCAGCCATTTCAGAGCTGGACTGAGGCTACAGATCCAAAATAGGACTCTAGACCAGATGCTGAAGGACACCATACAACGCTGGAGATAATGGTGGAAACATGCGATTCAAGTGGACACACGCACGCGACGGACACACACCCACAAAGCAGAACACACACACTGAAGAGATTTAATTAAGTCTTGTTTCTGTCTCTCTCTCTCTCTCTCTCTCTCTCTCGCACACTCTTTCCGAAGACATATTCATTTCAGTTTTTCAGACATTACTCAGAAGTGGTTTAAGAAAAGCCCAGTGACCAACCGTGTGACGTTCCACTATGACATAAGACTGGCAGGGATACACGAGGAGCATGTACTACTTGTAAGAGGGGATTGGTTGGCTCGCAGGCGAGTGGAGGATGAGGAGGATGGAGAGAGATCTGTGATTATGATGTATTACTCCCCCTATGTTGGTGTCCTAATAAACTTATATCTCCCATGTGACTGCCCCCCCCCAACTGCAAAGTGTGTGAAGGTGCTGCAGGCACTGTGCAAAAAAGAAAACTACTAAAATGTCCTAAAAATGTGATTTACAGAATACTGACAATATAGTGTTATAGTGTGTTTTTAATGAATATCAATGAAGGTAGGGATATTAAATCAGGGAAACAGCCTGCCGGTTCACTATACGTCATCAATGCTAATATGCTGCAATATGGCCTGTAAATGTTCAGTTTGGGAGTTTTATTCCAAGAAGAGAAATGAATCCATGTTAACCAAAATAGTATTTAATGTTGAGTTATAGAGTATAGAGTTATATGTGTAGGACTTGAAATGTCTGTCTGTAGTCAGTCCTAGACACACAGTCGCAGACAGCAGTGCCCAGTGATGAATATGGAGCTGGAGCAAGAGGTCACTTAGCTTAGCTTAGCATAAAGACTGGAAGCAGGGGGAACAGCTAGCCTGGCTCTGTCCAAAGTAAAAAAAAAAAAAAAATGTGCCTACCTTTTTATTTCTTATACAGGGTTTTCTTTTGGGTTTCCAACTGTGTTTCAATGATGTAAACACAACTAAATGAAGCCAAACTGCTGCAGATATTCTTATTTATTTATTCATTTTATGTATTTACTTTTTCCTCCTATACCCCTCTGGATGTAAAAAGCTGTAAATTTTAAATCTGTTTGTACTTGTCAATGGATGTCAAATAACATGGATTTCCTAATTCCTGTTTTCAGTAACCTGGCGTCATTCAGCCCGCCTCAGCTCCATGTCTTTACCCAATTTCCAGGGCCAGAGCTGTCACTTCAGAAACTTTTTGTTGATTTATACCGTCTATATTATTAACATTTTGTATCTTATTTATTTAATCTGTGCAAAAACAGTAAAAAGTGGACAAACTACAACAATAGCTGTTTCCAGTCTTTATGCTAAGCTACGTTTTTTTTCCTGTAAAAGTTGAAATAATCGTGAACAGTTAAATTATCACACACTGTAATATTCATACTCTTCTATTTACAATACTTATAATTGTGTCATGAATCAAAAAGAAGTTAAAAGGATATTGTTACTTACCACCCACCAGTAGTAGACATCAGAAGGCAGCTGGACGTTGTCTCTGATCCAAACCGGTGAGATATCCGGGTCGTAGTTCTCATCGAACCAATCAGAAACACCGGGGTCTCCAACACAGCGCGGGCAGGCACATGTCTTCTGCTGCGGGGTGTCAGCTGGTGACAGCCTGTGTGCGCCCACGTAGCTGGGCACTAGCTTCACCCGCCTCGACTCCTCCCACCCAGGTGGCTCCAGGTAGTTGAAGCCGACGCCCCCGCGGAGCGAGACGGAGAAGAAGAGCGAGGTGAGGAAGACGAGAGCCAGCGAGCCAAGGAGGACCCAGACCCTGCGGGAACATCTCACCCTGCCTCCTTTCTCCGCTGCGCCCCCTCCCCCGGTACTACCTCCACCTCCTCCACCTGCCACCCCAGCCACCCCACCGCCCAGCCAGGGCCTGAGCTCGGAGAGTCTGGGAGCTCCCCTGGATGGGCCACCGCCCCAGGACCCCCAGCCCCACCGCCTGTCCCGGTGCAGGGTGGAGGACGGGATGCGGCCCCCCATGGCCATGCCCCCCACCCCTAGGCCTGCCACTGTCCCCAGCCCACCACCACCAGCTCCTCCGCCGCTGCCGCCTCCACGCAAAAAACACCAAGGTCTGGTCAGCGTGACTGGGACGACCCCCCCCCCCGACTAGCACAAGATCACACACTATATCAGATTAGTATAAACACACACACACACACACACACACACACACACACTGATGGAAGACAATGTGTCAGAGTCAATCTGTCTCACAGTCAAGCTGTGCGCTCAGCAATGCTCCTACGCTTTCCCTCCGTCTCCCGCTGGATTCTCTCTCTCTCTCTCTCTCTCTCTCTCTCTCTCTCTCCTTCACAGCTATGTGCTCGTCTCACACACAGAAATGTCTCCACACACACACACACGCACACACACACTGGAGTCGCAGCTGAATTACACACAGCTGTATCCTGACTGCTTCGGAAGTCCTTTGCTTTCAGTGAGAGGTGATCTCTCCTTCAGCTCCGATCACAGTCTCTGCTCCTTTCTATCCTTTGTTCATTCCCTCCTTCACTTTTTAACTTTCCCTTCTCTGGCTGCCACTGTCTTTACGTCCACCTCTCTCTTTTCCCTCCCTTCTTTTGTTTGGATTAACTGCAGTGTCCATCTTCAGTGAGATCCAGTGCACGCTGTGGATGGACGCAGCAGGTCCTTCTCGTTTTCTCTGCCATCTGTGTGAATGTTGAGCTCGGCTCCAGCGCTCCGCTATCTCTCTTTTTCTCTGTCTCTCCCGTTGCACTGAAGCGACGTAGCCAAGGAAAGCTGGCAGACTAGTTGAGTGCAGCGAAGAGAGGGAGGGAAGAAGGGAGGAGGAGGAGGAGAGGGAGGAGGAGCGGTAGAAGGGAGGAGGTCTGGCCTGAAGGGTGTTCCATCACGTCTCTAGCCATCCTAGACCAAAAGAATACCTATTTTGTTCCTCTTTTCCCCTTCACTGCTCCACTCCTCTGTTATCAGCCTTTTTTCAGTATTCGCTCTTCCGTTATTTTACTCCTATTTTTGCCTTTCACTCAAGGCTCATTTTCTCCCTCTCTGTCTCAAGGTCTCTCCTTTCCTCTTTTACCGCTTTCAGTCCATTGTCTGTGTCTGCCTATTTCACCGAGGCTCTCAGAGCCACTCTGTGAATAGCACTTCTGTCAAGTTTAAAGCACTCCTCTGTTGCTGTCCCTCTCCACACTTTCCTCTGACACAAAGTTTAAAAAGTTAGGAATAAAAAGTTTAAATTCTTTGTGGCAATTGATGAAATCTTAATGAGATTTTTGAACAAAGTTGTGACGCTGCTCCAGTGAGAGTGCAGCGTTGAGTTCAGTTCTGCCAACAATTCACACAGAAGTCCAACAACTCATCAAGACGTTTGATTGCTCCACTCTGCACCCATAGAGATTAAAAAACACAGAGATAAAAGTAAGAATGACTTTGGGTAGAAGTAATCAAAGCATCGCAAGCGGATTTTCCGAAGTCTTTCCCGTTTTTAGGACGATGGTTCATCCGAAGCTGCACCAAGGAGAGACGAAAGTGGTCGATGGAGTGTTGCACAGAGGGTGCGATGGAAAAAAAGACAAAACCAATCAGCCCCAAATCTCATCTTCTCTCCAGCTGGCTTTGAGAGGACGATGGGAGGAAGGGTGGGGACAGCGTCTGTCCTGCAGGCCAGAGCATGTGTGTGTGTGTGTGTGTGTGTGTGTGTGTGTGTGTGTGTGTGTGTGTGTGTGTGTGTGTGCACGTCTTTGTGCCTGTGATTTAATGTGTGTATGGTGTTAAGCTAGGGTTGCACACCGTCTGCCAGCTGAACTAATTTAATTGTGTTCTACAGCTGTGCAGCTGTGTGTGTTTGTTTGTGCACGCCCTATTGGCTGGCGGCGTACGTTTCATGAGGCTGGTGAGCTTGAGGTGACTGCTGCTCAGCTCTAATCTGCCAAACGGTAATCCGAGGGTAAGACCCCAGCAGTGCCCACTTTATGCCAGCTGTCTGCCCTGCCCATATTCATCTGATGCCCTATAAACACCTGCTTAATTTACCTGTAATGATCTAAGTGCTGTGTTTCTGCTGCAATAGCAACTAGTTTTTGATGTGTGTGTGTGTGTGTGTTTCTGTGTAACCTGGACCCTTAGGGGACAAACCACCGCTCCCAGTTTTTTATTTCATGATCAAATGTCAGTGTTTGTGCTCGTTGGTGTATCCTTCAGGGATCTGACCGGCACGTCTTGCTACCTGTTCCCATGGAAAACCTGTAGAGAGAGAGAGAGAGAGAGAGAGAGAGAGAGAGAGAGAGAGAGAGAGAGAGAGAGAGAGAGAAAAGATAGATTGTCATTTACTGCCATTTGCCTCATTGACCACATTGACATCTTTAATCTCCTTTTCCACTCTGATTCCGTCTTCCCCTCTTTTTAATTCTCATTTCCTCTTCTCTCCCCTCAGTGTAACCCGGCCCACCTCAAACTGTTCCTTTCTTACTTGTCTCTAGCAACGTTTTTTTCCTTTACTGCTGTTTCAATTGCACCTGTTCTTTTTCATTATTCTTTTCATCCTTACTCCCTTCTTGCTCAGTTTGTCTTTCACGCTGTCCATCACGAGGGACAAGGGCAAACATGGAACAAACTTCTGCTCCGTCCTGTTTGTGTGTCTGTTGATTGGTACTGAATAAATTTCAGAAAGTCACTATGCGGAATTGGAAATGTTGAAGCAGACTGACAGGATACAGACTGAAAGAGTCGGGGTAGAATACCAAGCAGAGAAACAGACCATCCAAACAAACTGCTCTCAGATCTGGTAGCGGCTGTGTTTTTGTCTATGTACGAGATGATTGTCTGCGGGGGATTGCTATCTTCTGTGCATTCCTGGTTTATAAGTTCCACTTTAAATTAATTAACTAATCGCACTTGCTACACGAAGGCCGCTACAAATTGCCGGCAGGTTGCAATGTATCAAGGTATTTATTAAGACTATAGATGTAAGGGATCTTAGTGAAGTTAATCTAATTTCTGACTAATTAAGATCTGATGCTCGGCTGTTTTGATGTGTGCTGTCTGGAAAGTAATGCAGCACAACAGAAAGCGATTTTTCTGCTGCTGAACTCGGAATATTGGTTGAAGGAAAATCTTTGAACTACAGCTGTGTACTCTTCCCACGAGGAGAGTATGAGAAAATATGACTTAACCAGCTTAATGTCATCAGCTTAACAAAAAAGGTCAGTGATTGAATAAGATGTGAAAAATCAATGTGGAGATATTTGATAAAACTACCCACACCTCTTATTGCTGTAAATAGATAGAAAATGAGAATCAAAAAAGGACATATTCATAAGTATTACTGGCTGATGGCTGATAAATGATTGCAAACATAGCCAAAATCATGTGGAAATCATGTATTGCTGCATCTTCAAGTAAATATAGAACATATTTCTATCGCAATTTAACTGTCCCTTCACACTCCATTAATTGGTCAATAAACAAATAGATAATTAGCAACTAGTATGATGCTCAACTGATGGTCCTTTTCAGTCTATAAAATGCCCCCCAAAAATCCTAATTATAGCGTCTCAGTTCTGAGGATGTGCTGCTTTTCTTTGTCTGGGTAGATAGTAAAGTGAACATTTTTTTTATTTTAGTTAATCAGCAGAATAATTGGTAATTAAAATAATTAGCCCTATTGTTAAGACTGTCTCACCGTCGCCTCCCTTTCTTCCATTTCACCAAGACCTTGGATCAGTCTTTAAGTAATTTGACTTTTTAGTGCCAAAAAAAGGGCCACATTCTTCGTAAATGTCCCCTGTGCATTGTTCTAAAACAGTGACTTTTTGTCATGTACAGCCCATGTACGTTCCTTCAACCCCCCCGGAGACCTGCCATCCTCTAGCCTTCCACCAGATATCTTCCCGTCTGCCCCACCCATCCACACACCTGTTCCCCACCTCTCATAAACCCCGCAGTCACCTGAGCTTTCCCACCCATCTCCTCATTCCATAATCTCACTACATATAGTTCTCTTCCTTTGTTCCCTACCAGATCATTAAGCCTCAGTAGGTTTCTGCTTATCTAATACCTGTAACCATCCCTGTAGGCGTTATATATTGCCAACAAGTCACTGAACTCCACCTGCACTGCCTCTGTCGTCTGCGTTTGGGTCCTACCCCCTGTTGCTCTGCTCCTACCAACAAGCTGTGTCCTGTAACGTCCTGCCCTTCGTCCCCTCCACTTGTGAGGATTTGATAACTAATCTCATTATGAAGACTGTCTGCCTCCCTTTCTTCTTTCTACAAACCTACCCGCTCGGCAACGAACGATTATTTTCCACTACTCTATTTTTGATGCATTGCCATGGCAGCCAGCAAGCGATGCAGGGTTGTTACGGCAACAGACCACAGAGTCCACTAACCTTGACCCGTCTAATCAATGCCAGAGAACTGGGACAGACTTTGCTTTCATCCAGTTGACATATTTCTTTCTTTACTGTATATATCATGCACACAGCTACACCTGGAGCCGCAGTCCTGGTGGTTTTTCAGAACTTTACCGTTGTCACTGGACGTCCTCTGGGTGTAACAGTGCAGTGACAAACAGCCAGATGCACACAAACACTGACAGAGCTTGGGACGTTACGACAGCTGTCTTCTGTGTCCTAACAAGCTGCAGATTTACAATATGAATTTAGGCAGGTTGTTTTTTTTTTACACCAGTTTTTCACATTGTGTATTCTTTCCATTTGTCATTGACGCCGGGGGATACAATTAATCTGAGCATGAAGCTCGCCTCTGCCCCTTTGGTTTTAATAAGGAAATGCTCCCAATGCAATGGAGGACACTCTTTATTGAATTCATTTTTGAGAAAGAGAAGGACAAATGCAGATAATTGTTGACTATGGCAGCTGTTAATGGGAACAGCTGTCGGTGTTTTCCACTGTATTTCCACACTGTTATCCATATTGTTCTTTAGAGTCCGCGCAGCTGTCAATGAAATCTTCTGTTAAATGATTCATCGCATCAGGCTTTCACTGAACCAATGCTCTTTTCTATGCGGCGTTCACGGCTCATTGTCATGCAAGAAAATACATTTAATCTATATCGCATTGACGTTAGCAGAGATTTACACACGGCAGCTCAAATGCAACATGCTTTTCACAAGCGCAGATACATCACCTGTCTAGGTAGCCTATACACCTTTGGAGGCAGTTTTCAGAATGTGAACTTGGCTTCTGTGTTTTGTATTCTGTCCAGTTTTTGTCCACTGCTCTGCCTTCAGAATGATAACATTCTCTTGCATTGATTTCAGTCCAACTTTAACAGGAGCTCACCACTTTAAACTGTCAATCACCTCCCCCACGTTCTACCTTCACTCTCTCCTTTTTCTGCTTTAGGCGCACCCATTGTCCTGTCATATTTGTGGAAGTTTGATGCCATCACATTTTTACAGCTAGCAATTATCACTCGATACCCTCCCGCCAGCTTCCTTTCTGTAACAATTGCTCTTCACAGGTGCCGGAAAATGTCCATCTTTCCTCTCAGTCTGCCCGTTGAGTGCTCTCATCTGTCATGCCCTGAGTCACCTCCTCTCATTATTCCATAGGTGAGGGTGTCTAATAACTGAACAAAACAATGACTAACTGAAGTACAAGTCTGTCCATATACGCAAGCAGCTTTCAGGCACTTGTTGGTCCAAAGCCCAGAGCACATGCTCCACAGTATATGAAGGTGGCAGACAGTAGACGGTTTTACTCTACATTTCTGTGCATTGCTGCCAAACACTGAACACTGGCATTATCATTATTGACGCTGCATTCCATGAAAAGATGATAATAAAGAGGGGTTTTGTTATCCTAATTGGCGAGGTATGCACGTATTGTGAATATATTAATGTAGAATATGTCCTACGCCATTTAAAGCAAGGATCTCAAATTCCTCCTTCACCACATCAAGATCTTTTGTTTTTTTTTGTTAGTTGTTTCATATCAGTTTAAACCCCTTCATATAGAACTTAAATAAACACAATTCTGTTTTAGAAAATGTATTTAGTTTGTTGCTAAATAATGGCAAAGGTGACCACAAATGTGTGCAAACAGTTGATAAGGAGAGACTTTATTTGTTGTTTGGCTTCGTTCTTTTTTAAAGATCTATTTAACTGTTATTTAATCAGGTAAAAACCAGTTAAGATAAAATCTCTTTTTCAATGATGACCTGGTCAAGAAGTCAGCAAAGTTTTCCATTGACTGCACGCCAATTACATACATATAAAATATTACAAAACAATACATTACAAATAGTACAGGATATGAGCTAATATCCACACAGATACCTCAGGGGTTAAATGAAGACAGAAATTAAATAAAAACTGAATTATGCATTGTAGCAAGGACATTTTTTAATAAAAACCTGGTAGCTTTTGTTTAAAACTGTCTAGAGAGATGAGGGAGGCTGGAATGAGTCTAGACTGCAAATCATTCAAAGACCAAGGACTGTAATAAAATACAGATTCAGTCTGCACAGGTACCTTTACCTACTGTTGCACGTAAGATTGTAGGTGCTATGCACAAAATTCAAACTTTAGAGAACACAGTACTATATACCTGAGTAATCTGCCCAGAATATAAAATCACATTCAAATGTACAAAAACTGCTGTTTGCACTGTTTTGTTAATATTTTGGAAAGGGGGAAAACTTTCTTGTAGTACTTGAACACTAAAGTGGCCCTCCTATAAGATGACAGTACCAGCAGTGGCTTCAAGCTAATTTGAATCAGAATCAGAATCAGATATACTTTTATAATCCCGTGGGGAAATTACTTGTGAGGGGAACAGGGGGGGAGAAAAACAAGAGGAGAGGGGAGGAGAAAAAAGCAGCTCCCAGACTCTGCTCCTGTAGGGGAGTACAGTGTGGGACATGGAAAAAACCTCAGCAACATAAGCACATATGATCACACTTTACAACATAAAACTCAAAACAACTTGCAACGGGGAGGTGGGAAAGGGGGGTGGAGGCGCACCAGCGCAGACAGGCAGCCGCGGCGCAGCCAGCATCGGCGCAGCCAGCATCGGCGCAGCCAGCATCGGCGCAGCCAGCGGAACTCCGCTTGTCGCACTGATTTTTTTTTTTTTTCGGTCGAGACTCTCAATTTAAAGGATAAATCTGGCAATATTCTATATTTCTATATATATATTCTTTATTTTTACTCCCCTGGAGATGCTCAGTGACCAACAAAGCAATTAGCTGCTTAAGCCAGCCTGTATGTCTGGGTGC